TAAACTCCCCCTTTTAAAGAGCGACTGGAGATTAGGGAACCCAGTCGCCAAAGCCTGGTGGTGGGGAATCATCATCCAGTACCTTTTTTTGTTCGGGCGCTACTGTAGAGATATTGGGCTAATTCGCAGCAGGAGTGATGAAAAATAAGCAATGTCCTCGCCGGGACACGAACCTCGGACCTCTTGATACGCGCCGAGTGTGCTGACCATTACACCACGAAGGCTTGCTAAGAGAAATACCTTATAACTGTACGTAATTCTTGCGTGCATTTAATTGTGAAATATCTGTAATTAGCATGTGTCTGGCGCTTATAATCTCTCCAGGTTGTTGCGCCATAAAATTTACTACCATCACCACCACCGCCACTACTACCACCTTAACCCATCAAAACTTTTCATTAAAATTTTTGGTCCTTAGTTATGAATCACCCTGTTGTATAATGAGGCTGTGTCTATGTTTGCTTGGAATCTTATCTTCTTTGAAAAAAAATCCTTTTTTTGCATTATTGTAATTGCGTTAATATTTCTTTTCATAGCTGCAACTGTGACGAAGGCACCGAGTGCTTATACGACAGAGATATACTGACCGACTGTGAAGGAAATGAGGATTGCTTACTTAGCAGGAATCTGCTTTTAAATTTCAATCTCTCTGCCTACCAATATGTTTGCAAGCCTAAGCAAAACCTTTGCACATCGGACCCACAGGAAGAATATTCCACAGTTCTGGAGCGCTCCATCCGGAAAAAAATAGATCACCTAGATAATGAAGTATCTAACATCGACTATGAAATAGCTAGAGTCGTTCAAGCAAACAAATATGAAAAATATGAAAAGGAAACACCTCATCTCGATTATCAATTAGCTCACTTCGATTATGAAGTAGCTAGTCTCGAGCAGTTCGGAACTCAGATTCAGAATTTGACAATTCACCCTGAGAATGAAGCAGCTCATATAAGAATCAGCCAACTCAACAGAAGAATCAGAGAGCTTATTTTAAGAACTGAGCAGTTGAACTGGAACGTTGGACGGATTTCAATGAGGATTAGAGAATGAATCTTCTCGAGAATGGAGAGGCAACTTATTAACCTTTACGAATACTTCTCATTAAATTACGCTGCTTTGCCATGTTTCAAATAATCCTTTTTGTTCAATATTTACTATTTCCTGTAAATTAGGAATTGTGCATCCAGTACTAATTAGATTAATTTTCAATAAATTCCTCTATACATTATAGTTATCAAGAGTTTTCTATAATCAGAAATCATTATGATTATGCAAAAGGAATTCCGTAAACGAAAATACATATCCCATTTATTTCAGGTTTGTGTGTGGGGAGTTGAAGATGATATCCTTAAGAAAATAACACTTTCCACACCACATACATTTAATGAATAATATTAATAGAAAAGCTAAAGATTTGAATTAAATAACAGTACCGTTCTGCATGACTTTAAGTATTTCAAATAGCTACACAGCGCTTGCTATTTTAACAAAGTTCTTTTGTTACCACCTTCGCGTGAAATCAACATCTATCATCATCGTCTTTCGCCTCCCTCTCGCCGCAGGCGCATACGTGATGTCCACTGGTGGCTGCGTTGAACTAACGGATACCACACATATTCTTAAATTTTCTGTTTTAGTACCAAAAGGAAATTAATCAAAGCTCTCCTATAGGTCGTAAATGAGACCAACTAGATACACGTAATATAACGTGCAAAACTATGCTACCCGTCCAAAGAAAATGTATGAAAACATTTTAATATTGAAGAAATTAGTTCGTTCTTTCCAAGCAACAACCAATTCGTAAATAATGTTTTTTATTACCCAACCAGGAAACAAACCCTTTGACACTTCAGGTTAATAGGTATGACGTTATGATTTAAAATTAATGTAAGATAACAACCATTTTCTCCATATAAATAAAATAATTAACGAGGCATTTGTTAGTTCATGGAAAGTAGACACTAAAGTTCGTTATTGCGTTTAGTTGGCAGTCAGAAGAACAAGTTCGTACAATAGACATACAGGTAGTTCGGCGCTCGCAGGCGCCCTCTTGCAGAGAACAAAATCCATTTTACATAAGGCGCGAACATGCCGCCCAACTTAAAATACTATTTCAACATTCAGTGGTTAAAAATTCAGTGGTTAAAACACAATACCATATTAAAATCGTGATATAATACTTAATTTATAATACATGAATTAAAACTCAAATTGGCAATGGACACAATTTTGTAATATTTCTTTTGACCATGACATCGGAAGTCTTAATAGTCACAACCCTAACAATATTATCAATACCAGAATGCAATTGAGTAATTCTACACATTTTCCATTTAGTTGGAGGTAAGTTATCTTCCTTTATGAGACACAGATCATTAACTTGAAGATTTTTAGTTGGCAAAAGCCATTTTGGTCTTTGTTGTAATCCACACAGATATTCTTTGTGCCAACGCTTCCAAAATTGTTGAACCATTTTTTGAATATGTTGCCATCTAGTGAGATGGGAAACTTCAATGTAATTTGGTTCAAGAATACTTGTTAATGATCTACCAATAAGAAAATGACCAGGCGTCAACGCTGATAAGTCATTTGGATCATTAGATAAACGTGTTAAAGGTCTCGAGTTCAAACAAGCTTCCATTTATGTGAGAAATGTTTTAAATTCTTCATATGTCAATCTCGCCTCGTCAGCTACTCGTTTTAAATGGTATTTTGTTGATTTTATGCCAGCTTATCAGAGTCCACCCATATGTGGCGCACCTGGAACGTTTATATGCCATTTAATGCCATTATCAACCAAATATCTACTAACGTTTTGGTTAAAAGTTGCAGCTCTAGCAAGCCCTTCAAATTCTATGAGTTTGCGTTTTGCTCCAACAAAACTGGAATCGCAATCACTATATATATCACTGCTTTTGCCTCTGCGGGAAATGAACTTCTTAAGAGCTGCAATAAAAGCATCTGCTGAAAGATCAGTCACTAATTCTAAGTGAATAGCTCTTGTCGTAGAACAAACAAATAGAGCTATATATGCCTTTGAATGACCTAGAGCCACGACCCTTATTTTCTTTAATTTGAAAAGAACCTGCGTAATCCACTCCACAGAGCAAAAACGCAGGAGCAGGGAAAACGCGACTAGACGGCAAATCGCTCACCAATTGATTAGTGACAATTGATTAGTGATGCTCTAATTTTGCAAAACTTTATACATTTCCTAACTAAATCTCTGATAACAGTTCTACCATTTATGATCCAATATTGTTCTTGAATGCAAGATTGCATAAGTTGTGGACCCTTATGCAAAAGTATTTCATGGTAATGTCTAACAATGAGATGTGTTAAAATGTGCCTACTTGGAAGCAAAATGGGATGCGTAAAGCCATATGTAGGGTTTGCATGTCGCAAGCGACCGCCCACCCTGAGAATACCTGAATTAACTAAAAATGGTTTTAAAGATAAAATTTTGCTTGTACAAGATAATGATTGATTTCTGCTTAAAGTGTTAATTTCATTTTTAAATTCAGCATATTGCATTAATTTAATGAACACATGCATAGCTTTAGTTAATTCACTAGTTTTTAAAAGTCCATTTACCTGATCTTTTGAATTTCTACAGTTATTTACAAACCTCAGACATAATGCTATAACACGTTTAAGTTGGGAGAGAAGAATATTTATAAAATAAATCATGAGTGTCTGTCAGGTGACTGGCAGCAGTTGTTGCCTGTAAAGCACATCTTTGCTCTGGCACAGAATCATTCAGTAGTGGCGCAGATAATACTGGCTGAAAAGGAAATAAATTATACAATAAATCTGGACCACGTAGTCAAAATGAAGTAACCAGTGCTGATGATGACACACCACTAGTTGCAAGATCAGCAGAATTAGTAATTCCACTCACATGATGCCACTGAACAGGAGAAGATAAAGTCTGGATTTTTGCTATTCTGTTGGCGATGAAGGTCTTCCATCGGCTTGCATGAGATCCTATCCAGACTAATACAATAGTGGAATCAGTATGGAAAACAGCTTGTGATATAGGAGTATTTAAAGCTGTACAGGTGAAATCCATCAATTTAGTCAACAGAAATGCTCCAAAAAATTCCAATCGGGGAAGTGATATGGTTTTTAGTGGTGCAACTCTTGTCTTGGCTATCAACAACTGAACCTTGATTTGTCCAGTATCTAAACAGAACGATAATAAATTGCAGCGGCGTAGGCCTTCTCTGAGGCGTCACAAAACCCGTGCAGTTGAAACTGGTTATATGATTCAACCAACAAGAATCGTGAAATTTTGATACTTTTAATAAATATCTTCCGTAAGTTGTTTCTACTCACATTCAATATCTGGAGGAACCTTTTCATCCCACTGCAACTGATGTTTTCCACAATCTTTGGCGTGATTACTTTATACCGAACCGTGATCGGTGCCAACCATCCAAGTGGGTCAAAGGTCTTTGCGATTATTGAAAGTAATGTTCGTTTGGTTAAAGACTTCAGGATATGATGAATTGACTTTGAATAAAAACATATCTGAAGCTGAATGCCACAGGATACCTAACGTTTTTACATTATCATCATTGCCTATGTTCAAAGAAACATTTGATAAGCACAAATCTGGATTAATTGAATTCAAGACTTCTTTGCTGTTAGAAGCCCATTTTCTTAGAACAAATCCTGCACGTGACAACATCTGATTCAATTGCATTTGTAATTCTATAGCTTCAGTAACTGAACTGGCTCCGGACATCAAATCATCAACAAGAAGTCCCTAAGACATGTCTTGGAAGCCAAAGGAAAATTAGTTGCTTCATCTATGGCTAACTGCTGTATACATCTTACCGCAAGGTACGGAACTGATGCAGTACCGTAAGCAATCCTAGTTAATCGAAAATCCTGAATTGGTTTATAAAGTGAATCGCGCCAGACTATTCTCTGAAAGTCTGCATCTTTTAGTATAATTTGTCTGTACATTTTCTCTATATCTGCAGTTATAGCTATTCTGCGAATTCTGATTCTATTCTGTGAATAATTAATGTTGTCAGATCAGTCTGCAACTGTGGACCAACCATCAATTTCTCATTAAGAGAAATACCGCTAGAAGATTTTGCAGAACCATCAAATACGACTCGAAATTTATCACCATTTTTATCCGGAACTGAATGGTGTGGAAGGTAGAAACTAGAATTAGCTGGAACATCAATTTCATTTTCAGGAATCAATTCCATATGACCAAGTTGTTGATAGTTCTTCATAAATTTGTGATATTGACTGGAAAGAGATTTATTCTTATTATATTGACGCTCAATGCTTTGTAAACGATGTACAGCAACATTCCTTGATGACCCAAGTTCATTTCCCGATCTACGAAATGGAAACTTAACAACAAATCTACTTGTTGAATCACGAGAAAAATTCCGCTTGAAATGATTTTCACACTCAATCTCCTCTTCTGTGTAATGCTTTATCTCTGAAATTTCTTCCAATTTCCAAAATTTTTCAAGCTGGAGCTGGAAATTGGTACAACTAGCATGATTAGATACAATTGTTTGTGGTACACTTTTAGTCTTTCCGATAATGACCCAGCCGAATACTGATTCCAAGGCTGTTAACGAATGACCCGGAACAGTTAAACGTCCATGAAGCATTATCTCGCCAAATACATCTGCGCCTAAAAGAATATCTATTGGGCCAGGCTGGAAACAATTTGTATCTGCCAACCACAAATGTTTGAAAGATGTCAAAACAGATCTATCAACTTGATATTGAGGATGGTCACACGTGATCTTGGGTACAATTAATGCATTAACCGAAATGCTTGCGTTTTTATAAAATGGAGACGTTACTTGTAATTGAACTGAACCTGAAACCTTTCCAATGTTTTGCGAGCTCAGGTCATTTACACTTATGTTTGCACTAGTGCGCTTTAGCTGCAGTAAATTTACACAGTGCTCCCAAATAGATGAGCCCTGGCTACCTGAATCAATTAGCATCCTGCATTTTTGTAAATCGCCATTAATATCTTTAACATAAACAACCGCAGTAGGCAATAAAACTGCTTGCGTAACAGACACCGTGGCGTTATTGCTACTAATAGCAGAAGTTCCGTGTTCCATGGGTATATGACATTTTTCATCATTTGAATTTGTGGCTTCGAACAATATTTACACATGCTTGCACGACATTTAAAAATGGGATGCGTTTTACTATCTTTCAAACAATTAGCACATAATTTATTCCTTTTAATAATATCCCATTTTTCTTTGATAGGGAGTTCTAAAAAACTATCGCTAAAAAACACGCATTTAAATAACTGAGAATGAGAATTACTCTTACAATAAACGCACACATTAGCCACAAATTGGGACGAAAAAGCGTATCTGCTACCTGAACCCAGAGTTTTAATTTCAGAAGGCAAAATTGCCTTCTCCCTCTGACACTTCGCCAAAGAGGCAATAGCATTCGCTCTGTTTAAAATAAAACGCTTGAATTCAGCGAAAGCAGAAATTTTCTTGTTCGAATGCTCTATCGTCCACTCTTTTAGTGTTTCCATAATCAAGTTTTCCTTTTAACAGAAAAATAATCATAGTATCCCAATGCTCTACCGGCTGTTTAAGGATTTTTAATGTATCAATACGCTGTTGTGTTGTATCAATTAATCTCCGCAAACCTGAAGCTGATTCATGTTTTAGAACAGGTTTGTGAAGTTAATTTATTTAATGCTGCGTTTATTATTTCTATTTCGTTTTCATAACGTTCAGTAAGCGCTTCCCATGCCTTTTCATAATTCGCGTTTGATATTTGAACTGATTGTAGTAAAACAGCAGCTTCACCTTTCACAGAAAGCTTTAGATATTGCAATTTTTGACTGTCACTTAATGTACTATTATTTCCAACACTGGCAAGAAATAAATCCCTAAATGATATCCAATCAACATAATTAGAAGTAAACGCTGGCAATTCCACGCGAGGAAGTTTCAAGCCGTTTGCATTAGCATTTATTATATCTTTGCCTGAATTTCTAAGTTTTCATGATTCTTCCTTTAAAGTAATTTTTAATGCATCCAGTTTGGAAAATAGTTCATTCATTTCTATTTCATATTTACTAAACTCTGCGTCAGAACAAGTACCAAGAATGTTATCGTTTAAACAGTTCACTTCAACACCTAATGCACCAACATCATTTTCGTATACTTCAATGGCAGAAAAAGAATTTGCTTGACTTTTTAAACCATTTACTTGTGAAATTAAACGAGTCAACTTACCCTTAATGATTGGCTTTTGCTTTAAAATCGACTCCATATTCCTGCCGCTGTTTTCACAATCCATACAAAATATAAATCCGTTTTCCTTGCACGAAATGTCCTCCTATACCAGAACGTTAAAAACTGTCTTGACACATCACCCAAAGAATTGCTCCGGCTCGACGGACCATGTTAGCGGATGGAAAGTAGACACAAACGTTCGTTATTGCGTTTATTAGACAGTGTGAAGAATAAGTTCGTACAATAGATATACAGGTAGTTCGGCGCTCGCAGGCGCCCTCTTTCAGAGAACAAAATCAAAATTTACATAAGGCGCGAACAGCAGTAACAAATAATAAAATATTAGAGTATATTAGAATATTAAAATTTAGAATTAAAAACCATATTTTTATAACATAACATTAAATTATAATTGTATGCTTCTTTCTAAGGCTTGAATGTGATTCTTTCGATTTCTGCATGTCTAATGAATAAAGATACCTATTTCTGTTTCCAAACATGATGCTTTTAATTCGCAACTCCAGACTACATTCAGAGATCAGACTTCATGTTATACAAAGAAAGTTCATAAATACGTAAATTTCCATATTTCATATAAATTAATAAAATAAATAGCAAAAATAAATATTACATCTTCTTTCTTTATTTTTTATCTATTCGCTGAGTTTCCAATTAATGCGATATTTACTCATCAAATCCTTGCAATTCTGGAATATTACAAAAGCTTTGCAAGCACTGTGGATTGATGACACTTTCTGGATTATAAGGCATATTGTTGATAATTTTCTTCACAATAATTTCAACTTTCTTTCCATTTATATTGCACTAGGAAAGAAAATAAGTATGAGAATAAATTAGTGTCAGTATTGCATAATGAAACTCCTAAACTTCAAAAACAAACGAGCGCCAAATAATATATATTGGCGAGAAAGGATTCATGTTCAGATTCAAGGAGTCTTAAAAGGATTTTATACTTGCATTACATTTGTACTCTGCGGAAAAAAAAAGGGGGGAGAGACAGTTCTATATCTCCCGTTCTACTGGGTCGATTGACAAAATTCAAACTGCGTGTTTCATGTCTCGGAAGCGCGACTTAGGATATATATTAGATTTATATAAAGCATTGTTCAAAGTTAGGTATTTTGACACATCGGACTTTTTCTGAAATAACATATGATTTTTTTTTTCATATTTCGATTCTAAGACTCATATTACTCCTAGATATTAAATTTTGTAAAATTTGGTGCGAAATTTACGGAGAAATTCAAAAATTTACATTGGCACAGTTTTTTCAGTTTGCGCCAAGAATAATTCACTTGGCGAATTTCTTAATATATAGCAACCAATTTTCCTTTCCCTTCCGTTATGTCGGAGCGGAAAGAAAGGCACCTTGTTCTTATCTTTTCACATTGTGCATGAGCGGAGAAAAAGTCACATCGTTCCTGATTTTTTATCGCTTTCAATAAATATGCCAAATTTCAAAATGCGCCAATATATAAATTCACTTATATTTTCGGAAATTTTAAATAAAAAATTTTCATTTTTTGCATGTATGCTTATAAATACATCTACTTTAAAATGATGATAAAAATTGTATGGATTATAATTCAATTTTTTTTGAAAAATTTATAAAAATCATTTAAAAAATAAATCATATGAAGTGGGTGAATTTTATTTAGAATGAACCTGAATTTCGAAATGCGAAAGGAAGAATAAAATAAGTTTAACAATAGAAGAGAGTTTAATAAATATATACCAAACTCTATTAACATTGAGGAGCTAAACTATTTTTACAAAACTTGGCAGTTTGTCGTAATTTGAGTCGTAGAATCGAAATATGGAAAAACATTGGTATGTTATTTCAGAAAAAAATCCGATTTTCTGTCAAAATACCTATCTTAGAACAATGCTATATATAAATCTAATACATATCCGCGCCTTCGAAAGCGCGCCTAATTCGCGCTTTCGAGAGATGAAAAACTCAAGTTGAATTTCGTCAATCGGTCCAGTAGAAGGGGAGATATAGAACTGTCCCTTTTTTTTCGCCCTGTATTTTATTCTTTTCAGCATCATACCTTCTATTATAGAATATACTCTTCATAATATTACCAAATATGTAAGCCTAAAGCTATTTAAAGCTTATACAGTGGCTCACAAAAATGATGGGGCACTTTGAATTTTGTATTCTTTAATGAACATAGAAACGAAAATAAATTAAAACAAAAAGAAAGCTTTTTACTTTCATTATATATGAATTTAACACTTTTTATAGTAAATACATTTTTAAAAGATAAAAATGATATTCAAAAATCAATATCATTTATTTAATGAGGAAAAATATTCTCACAAAATAATCGGACACTGTTAGTAACAGCCGAAAGATAGTTTTCTTTCAGGATAATACAAGTTGAAAGCTTTTAAGTTGCAATCACGCTTACATTTTTCTTTTACTATGTCATTTTGCTTTATTTCCAACTTAGTTAATAAGTATCCAAATTTAATCAACGTTTTAGAAGAAAAAAGTGCGTTCAAAAGTATCGCATTAGCTAGCAACTGACGTAAAGCTATGTGAAGTAAGTTCTGTGAGTGAAACTTACGTAAGTTCGCCAGAAAAGAGTATCTTGCGTCAGCCTTTATGTTTTAATTTATCTCTAGAACAATCTGCGATCAAATTAGTTTGATTACTTTTTGCAGTTGCAAGCTGACTGCAAATCGTAAGTTAGTATTTGTTTGGCTAAGCGTCGGAGTTTATGACGCTTCCTTGGTTTTGTAATATTGATGGCATTTAGCATTAATCATTGCTCGGTAAAGAGCTGCTTCAGAGTTATCTGAAACTTTAATTAAACTATGATGATCAACTATCAACGAATATTTACACATTGGAGTATTGACTATTTCTATTCCCATTCTAACTACACACATTTATTACTTCTCAAGTAGCACGGCAACGTCGTAAAGACGATGCAAACTGGTCCGAGAGATTACAAAGTGGTCGTGGTAACTTTTACGACGTCTTTACAACGTTGCGAAGACGCAAAATATTTGCCGTTGCATCTTGGCAATTTGCCGCTGAAACGTCATAATATGACCGCTTTTCATCTTTTTCATAGCTCGTCGTTACTTTTAGAATGAAAAGAGACTAAATCTGCCCTTTCAAAAATTTGAAGTCCGCATAAGATTTATTTTGCAATGTTTCATTACTTTATTTCATCTAAATATATTAATATAAGTTAGATTCATCTAATGAAATATAGATTTAATATAAATACTTGAATTATTAAATTTAATTAGTACTAAAAATAGGTGCTAAATTATTGTTAAAATAATTAATACTTAAAATATTTTTATAAATATAACAGCAAAAATTTTAAAATGAAACTAACCTATAAAGTAAGTTATTAAGTTATGCATTTTATATATTTTAAAAAATCGTCTTTCCGGAATCAATGCAAATCAAATGTTAGCAATTATTTTGCTGCTGAAATATGACTTTATTTATTATTTTTGAAGTAAGGACGAATTTATTTGAATTAATATGCTGACATAATACGAAACATTTTTACCGCATACAGAGAGAGCATAAAGTACAATTTTTGCGAAGATATGATTGTGCGTTGCGTGAAGATGTATTCACGATTATAAATGGGGCAATTTTAAGAATTCCGAGAAAGGGTCCATTGCTAAAAGACCTTGTATATCCATGCATATTTAACTGCTGTCCAAAATATCTCGGGAGAAGCAGAACAAAAAATTAAGGGAAAAGGAGAAAGAAATATTAACACTTTTAATGGAAAACGACAAAATTAATGGCTTTGATAAATTACTAATAAATGTTGACATCAAAATTAGAGAAACTGTGAACAAAAATACGAAATCCATTACTTATAAGAGTTCTAATGAACTGTTTGTTACGTTTTTGTCCATCTCCATGCATTTAAAAATGCTTGATTTAATCCTAGTATACGGTACACTCGGGATTTGGCGATATTGGCATTACAAATGTTTTAGCGAGCCCGATAAATATTTTTTGTAAATATAATCTTGTGAGCATTGTTCGACTCTATTCAGTTGAAATAATTCTTCCGTGCCATTTAAAAAAGATTCTATTGAACTGTCAGAAGAACCGTTGAAAGGTTTAAAGCCATCCTATAAACCGCTGAAAAGTTTAGACTGAACTGTTGTTCGAGAGATTGACATTCCATGTACATATTATTTACCGAATGACTATATAAGCGAACATCTGAGCTCGAGGCTTGCTCGCTTTGCTAACTGCCAAATTAACTAACAGTTAACAGCGCAATAATTTCAGACTCCATCTTATTTTCAGAAATATTTTCTTCATGGTCTTGTAACTCACCGTCGGAATTAAATACTGGAGAGCTTCAATACAGCAAGAGAACGATGGAAAAGAATATAATGATGGGAGTTTATTTTGAATTGAGGAGAAATCATGGTGGTAATGCCGAATTTCTGCTTATTTTGTTTGTGAATATCTGCTCTACAATGCAATGTGCTACATCCTACAGAGAAATGGTGTTCTGTTTTGGTGTTTTATGTTTCTGGTGATTAAACTTACACGGTGTTGTTCTACAATCTTCAGTGATCCAGCGGTGCAATATTTGGATACACGGATTCGGTTATAAAGCCCTAATATATCGTATATCACTCATATTAAACAAACAGGTTGGTTCTCCGACTTTCCGCATATGATCGAAAAAATAGTGTTAAGGAAACATTAGGATGACTATGAAATATTGTAATCTATAATTATGCGATATTTAAGTGTGTAATATTAAAAAACACAATATTTTTTTTATTGATTGTAAATTGCAGTTTTATTACTTGTCGTTTGGTAGCTTCTTCCAAACACAGTGTAATTCGCGTTTTTTTTTAAAAATATTACTGTTATGTACGTCTACTATATTATCTCAATAAATGAATGTTGGAAATTAGGTTTCATTCTTTATCAAATTTAATCATATTCTATTTTCTTCGCTTACATTTTATGTGCATATGATAACAAAGAAATTCATAATAAAACAAAAAGTTTCATTGCGCGCTATTTAACAAAGAACTTACTTTAACGTACTGTTACGAATTTGGTATTTAAAAAGCTAATGTTAGTTCAATTATAAATTAAATGGTTTTATTTCTCGCGCAGTGCAGCGCGTGACGAATATTAAAAGAAAGCTAAGCAAGAAAATTGAAAATACAAGAGCGCGTGCATTAAATAAATAAATATCTCTTTTTGATTTCGAGAAAGTACTGGAAAATTCTAGCGCGTGATTTTTAAAATCTTATAAAAGGAGGTAAACATCTCAGTTCGTAGTAGTTGCTTAGTTTGTTGTTGTTTTTTAGAAAACTGCTGTTGTTGATTATAGCGAATTCGCGGATTAGCGTTCTTTAGCTGTTTGAATTACGTTCTATTGTACATTTGAGTAGTTAAAAGATAACTACTGTGAGATATTGTAATACTGCATGATAATTTTGAGAAAATTTAAGCATTTTTGTTTGTGATAATAATAAATTTTTGTTCATTTTTCATCGGACTTGTGCATTTATTTCATAACGAACCCGTACGCACGCAACAATTTTTTGGTGTCAGAAGTGGGATTTGAATGCCAATCACAAGAGCGATGGAAGAGCAGTTAAGACAGCTGATATCAGCCTTTGCTGCATTTAAGGAAGAAAGAAATGAAGAAAAGAAATGAAATTGGGCCAGGAATCCGTTAAGGAAGAGATGAAATCCCTTAAGATGAGATGAAAGCAGGTCAGGACGACGAATGAAAAGAGAAATTACCTGCGTAATAGAAAATAAATTTGAGGCTATGGAAGGCAGAATAGACGCGGTTGAAACTAAAAAAACTAAGTTGGACAAATAGAAGAAAGAGTTTCTTCGGTAAAAGAACAATAAAAGAACAAGTAGAAGAAAGAATTTCTTCTGTAAAAGAACATATAGAAGAGAGAGTTTCTGCCGTCGAACAATAAATTGATGATAGGGTTTCTGCTGCCGTCGCCAAAAAAGTTGACAGCCTACAAAGAAGTGCATAGAGACGGCAGGAAAAACAATTCTGAAGGTTTTCAAATTTTTATCGATCTGCCTGCTCGTTCCGTTCTCTGAAACTATCTACATATGATAGGGAAGACCTCCTGGCAGGTGTATAGGACACAATTTTCTATCGTTGCGGATGCGAAATGGATGGGATTCCCAAGGCTAAGGCCTGTCCATCTCGCCGCTTTCTCTTGAGAGCAGACGCAGCGGATATCCTGCAGACGCTTCCCGAAAATCAAAGGCTTAGATTTCGAAGCTCTATCCGGCGCTTTGGAGCTGCGGCTTCTGCGGAGAAAAGTGTTTGAAAAGACTACAGCAGGCTCCAACTAAAATCTCGTCAACAGAAGCTCACCAAAACACTTCAGGAGCTCGCCACGTATGTTGAAAGGCTGTCACATCACGCCTTTTCGCAGTGCCCGACAGAAACAAGGGAAATCCTGTCCCTGCAATATTTCATCGACGGCATCCGGGATCCTGAAATACAGAAAGCTCTTCGAATGGCAGATGTAAAGGACATAAAAAGCGCTCTGTTGTACGCCATGAAGTTCGAGGCAGCCCAGCAAGCAACTAGTAGAAATCGCAACCCAGTTAGAGCTGTGCGAGTCCATGAGCCAGTGGATCAACTGATGGCTCGTTTAGATGATTTAGCCAGACAAGTCGACGCTTTGATGCGGAGTAGGAGCGAGAAGAAAATGGCTCTGAGGTGTTGGAGATGTGGTAGTGAAGGTCACCTAAGACGGAATTGCAGAACACCCCAGGGTACGGAATATAAAGCAGATGATTTTACCAGACAAGTCAGTGGCTTGAGACGGAACAGAAGTGAAAAGAAATTAATTCTTATGTGCTGGAACTGCGGAGTTGAAGGCCACATACGAAGAAACTGCGGAACACCCCGAGGTACGGAAAATAAGACCATTTCCCAGCAACGACGCAGTAAACAAATTAGTGACCATATCGAGGAACGGAGGTTGCCAGATAATGAAAAACCTTGTTTTAAAGCGCTTAAAATTTATACAGTGAGTGGCAACACTAACGGAATGTCCATTAATGGGAATATCGATGGAGTTCCTTGCAATATGATCATTGACACATGAGCTAATGTTACCATCATTAGGAAAGATTTAGCTGAACAGTTTTTAAAGATAAACTTATTTGGACGCCATCCTGTGTTACCCTTCAGACTGCGTCTGGTGACAAGATCGACATAGCTGGGAAGTTAAACTTGAACATCACGTTTTGGAAGTGCCGCCTACCATCCACACGGCTTATGTGGCGAATATTACAGATCCATGCATACTCGGATTGGACATTTTAATCGGATTGGAAATACAATTTTTCCTTAGACTTGAAAAACAACAAAAACTGCTTTCAGCATTCTGATGGCATGACTATCCATCCTCAAAAGGGATCCTCGCCTGGAAATGTCGAACGTCCTTGTCCGAACGATCCAGCTCGGGAAGCTGCTGAAATCATACTAGGGTTGAAAAGAAACGCAAGACTACCAGCTATTCTCCATCTCAGATGCTCTTCGGTCGAGACCTTCGTCTGCATTGTGACCGCCTGTTTGATCGCCATACGGATGCGCCTTCATCGCCTGAGGAACACATCCAAGATGTCCAGGCCCGTTTTGAAGCGATGCACCGTTCCGTACGAAAGCGAGTGAACTTGGCGACGGAGAAGATGAAGACCCAATACGACACAAGAGCTACTGAACATCAATTCCACGAACGAGACAGAGTGTGGTTGTGGAACCCGATTCAACGAAAAGAACTCAGGCCTACATTACAGTCACCTTGGGATGGTCCGAACACGGTCCTAAACAGGCTGAATGACGTCGTGGTTCGGATGCGTAAGTCTTCGAACTCTAAACCTAAAGTCGTTCATTACGACAGGTTAGCTCATTACTATGGCCATAGTACGTAATGTAAATAATTGTAAATAGTATAAGACCATGGTCCTTTTTGTTTTTAAATGTGCATTTGATTTGATTTGTATTTAGTATTTTATTTGCATTTAGTATTTGATTTGTATTTGAATAGCATTTGATTTGTTTAAGTTATCTATTACATTTATTGTTCATGTTGTTTGATATTGTAATGTAATGTTTATGCCTCAGTTGATTTAAGTTTGACTTCCTGTCCAGGGATTGTACTGCCCGGGACGTGCAGTCCTTGGGAAGGGGGCAGTGTTTACGAATTTGGTATTTAAAAAGCTAATGTTAGTTCTAGAATTATAAATTAAAATGGTTTTATTTCTCGCGCAGTGCAGCGCGTGACGAATATTAAAGGAAAGCTAAGCCGGGAAATTGAAAATACAAAGAGCGCGTGCATTAAAAAATAAATAAATATCTCTTTTGATTTCGAGAAAGCACTGGAAAATTCTAGCGCGTGCGTGATTTTTAAAATCTTATAAAAGGAGAAAAACATCTCAGTTCGTAGTAGTTGCTTAGTTTGTTGTTGTTTAGAAAACTGCTGTTGTTGATTATAGCGAATTCGCGGATTAGCGTTCTTAAGCTGTTTTGAATTACGTTCTATTGTACATTTGATTAGTTAAAAGATAACTACTGTGAGTTATTGTAATATTGCATGATAATTTGAGAAAATTTAAGCATTTTTGTTGTGATAATAATAAATTTTTGTTCATTTTCCATCGGACTTGTGCATTTATTTCATAACGAACCCGTACGCACGCAACAGTACTTAGCTTACTGTCGTATACTATATTATTTAAATTATTTCTGTACAGTATCAAAAGAAAAGTTATTGATTATAAAAAGTGCATGAAATGATCATTGTAATCTACCAATATTCTAAAATGTAGAAATTAATAGTAAGTAAATACATTTACATGTATTAGAAAGAAATGGTGTTAAGAAACATCAGCATTACTAGTGAATACTGCAATCCATAATTATTGCACTTTTAATTGCTTACTATTTAAAAAACACATTTTTTTTTTATTTTTTTTTATTTTTTTATTAATTGGAAATTTTAGTTCTGTTACCTTCCTTCTGCTATTTTTACTTTCAAACACTACTAGGTCATGTTTTTTCTTAAATAGTGCTCTCATGTATGTTGTTTGTTAGGTTATCATTTCATTTTAGATACAAATATGGGAAATTATTAGGTTTAGGTATATTTTTGATGACATTTATTAACTACTTTATACTGTCTTTCATTTGCATATCTTGGAGATATAGAAGTTAATGGTTATATTTTTTACTGTTAAACGCGAATAGGGCTGGCTGCATGGGCGTTTTCGTGGTTTTCCCCATGTGTAACGTGTATACGAGCCAGTTTCCCTTAGAAAGTCCTCCACGAAAGGCATCCCTCCTCTTAGGCAGATAGCCCTAGTGTGCTTTGCCATAATTAAATACACCAAAAAACACCAAACTAAACGCGAATAAATTTATACTTGACTTCAGGTAAAATACTGATTATGTTACCTTAAGCATCGCTTCCTAATTTATCATGACACTGGCAATTTCCAATGCCTCTGAGATTTAACAGAAATAAATGTGATAATGCTGTTATCAGAAACACTCTTTTTTTACCCTCATATGTATCTTTACTTTTATTTATATCTAATTGAGTTTTATTTACTTAAAACCTACTATTAATGTTATATATTTATAATAACCACTTTCATAATTACTCTCACTTAAGGGGAAAAATGATGAAATCTTAAATAATCGTAACTTAAAATTTAAGTTATTTAAAAAATATAGTTTAAAGTACTGAAAATAATTAATGCTATTATTAATTGTGCATAGTTAGTCTAAAGAGAAAAAACTGTATTATCTTCTGGTTTTCAGGAAATGATAAAATATTTAAACTTTAGGTAAATACAAGAAATACAAAATTTTAAAAAAGAAGAAAAATATATTAATTATTAAGCTTATTTTTCTGCATAAATTAATATGTAACACAAGGACATAATAAAGGCATTTTCACAACTGTTGGAAAAAGGTGGAATTTGACGAACATTTAGACGTCTTTAAGACGTCTTGATACGATGCTTTCACAACCAAAATATCACCTGCGAAAGACGCAATAACGACGTCTATGCGACAAAAACCTTATCTGCAAAGGCGTAATAAAGACGTCTTTGCAACGGTTGCAAAACAATACAACACTTGTAAAAAGTTCGCGGACATCTGGGCGTCTTAAAGACGACATATTGCAACGTTTTTGCAACGACATCCGCGACGAGTTTGCAACGTCGTTACGACGTTGCTGTGCTACTTGAGTTAAAGTACTATCAGGTGAAAAGCTTGTCGAATGCAGGATAAATTTGTTCAAGAACCTTGGACAAGGTAAATAAATTTGTTCAAAAACCTCTTGTCCATGAACAAGTTTACTCACCTTGTCCTTGAACAAGAATTAGTACACAATAAATCCTTAGATGATTTAGTTGTTCTAAATCTTTTAAGGACTAATTGTATACTAACTCTTTAGCCACTAAATTTTTGAATCCTACAAAATACTAGATTATTTGATCAAACCACATTTATTATAGTACAGTTGTATACTTACAGGTATATCCTTCGTTTCTAAAATAACTTCAGGAATGTGGCGAACCGTCAACTCGTTCCCAATTGCAACCCGAATTTTGTTGACTATTTCGTCACTGAATGAATAACCGTCTTCCATCTTTACAAAAAGCACAGCCCTTTCAACTAAACTCTTGCTGAACTGGGAAACACAAAGGCTGTCATAGACCTCGGGAAATTTGTTTACTGTAATAATTAAGCGAAATAAAATTTAGTTTTTTTCACAAAAGTGTTTACATTTACTTAAATTTCTTACACTTCTTTTAACGTTGGAGACATTTAGCTACATAATGGACTAATCTGTGAGCCTATTATGCAAAATTTTACTTTAAGCTTTACAGAAAGATTTATCACGTTATATAAAAGAATTAGCTAACAATCATTATATAAGCTTACACTTTGTTTTCTGTAATTATCATAGTTTATATATTTTCTGCAGCATTACATCTGTAATTATCATTGTTTAAATTGGGTAAATTAATTATCATTTGGGTACTATAGAGAAGGTTTACATTACCAACATTGTAAATTTCAGAACTTCCAAAACGGCATCCTCTTGCTTTCAAAGTGGCATCACTAAAAGGATATTTAAATTAATTAGCATTTTTATACCTAAATTAGGTATAAAATCTCTAATATAATCTATATCGCATAATTAACCACTAAAACATAAAATAAATATATACCTAACTATGTAAATACCTGAATTTATATTTAAGATAAAAATGTTCTGAGTGTTTCTTATATTACCTCAGTATTATTAATGTTTTAATCTAAAGTCAAATTCCAAATTATTGTTGTTTTTTCTAATCATCGAAGTGGTTTATTCCGATTAAACCGAATCCATGATTCCAAATGCCTCGAAAAAGTGTAAAACGATAAGAGGTTCTGAAAAAAATCTCGTCCAAAGTAAAATCAGGACAAAATAAAACACGATTAGGGGATGTCTGAGCTGACTACACTTGGTGCAGATCTTAAAAACTTTCTGAATTTGTTCACAAGATAGACACCTCAAGTGCCCACTGCCCAAACGTGATATGCAAGTCTGCTGGCTTCTGTGGCCAACAAAATTCAGGGCACCACCAGGACGATTCTCAAGTACCAGAGTCATGTACTGGAGGGACATTCCAGAGATCCTGACGTGATTTCTTACACTATAAGTGCAAAGCATATCTGACTTGGAGGTTCTAAAGCAACAGGTTTTGCAGAAAATTCGAAATCTCGCTGCAATTAATTCCCACATGGAAGGTGTGTGTGTATTTAATTATGGCAAAGCACACTGGGGCTACCTGCCTAAGGAGAGGGATGCCTTCGTGGAGGACTTTCTAAGGGAAACTGACTCCTATACACGTTACACATGGGGAAAACCCCGAAAACGCCCATGCAGCCAGCCCGTTCGTGGGATTCGAACCTCGGACCGAACCACCAGTGTTCAGCTACTTAACCGCTCGGCCGCTGGTGGGCTTTCATAATTATGAAATAATTAATTAATCAATGGTACTTTTAAATTTAAACACATGGAAGGAAATCGATTAGATGTGCACCTCGGAATTAACTGAAAACCTAGAAATTAAGTTCAGGATAGGCATGCCAGCTCTGTCCCCAACCTTTGTCAAATCACCAAATCACTTAGATGTTGAATTGAAAATCAGCTGTTAATAAGGATCTATATATCTATAAAATCACGTTCAACGATATTTTCAACATAGCTCAGGCCGTTTTCGATAGTGATGAGCTTAGATCTGAGCACAGAGCAAGAATCTGAATTTTTAAGTCTAAAAGTAGAAGTAGGAGTCCTGATAAAGAAGCCACTACCAGAATGGCCTTCATCCATCTTGCTGCCGTCGCCATCTGTATCTGTAAGAGGGATATAGCATATACCATTTGTATATGTAGATGATAGCATATACCAACGTTTGCTGTCATACGAAGAGCAAATTATTAATTATTTATTTCTAGTACCTGACAATAAATTAAATTTTTAATTTATTTATTTCGAGAATCCAACAGCAAATTTAAAATTCTTAATGAAAAGGCAAATGGAGTTAAAAATTAATCAATTCATAACTTCAGTTAATCATTTAAAATATTTACCTCTTCGTAAAGTTATTAAATAAGAGATTTTTTCATTAAAGTAATCTGAGTTTTAAGTTTGAAAATTCTGCCACTTTAGTTCCAAAAAGCAATTAAACTTTGTGCCTCGTTAAACTTATTCTGTTATTTTAATGAAGAAAGTCGTGTTTCCTCAAGCAACGATTTAAAGTTTTATTTCAAAGGCTATAAAAAGCAAGAAAGGATCAAAATTACAAACTAACTTGCACAAGTATATACTTCCGATAATAAGACTGTCCTTAAATTTTGATACATTATTTAAATCTAAGTATATGCATCTAAATTTAAAAACAGCCTTATTATCAAAAGCCGCGTGTGCATATTAATTAGGAGGGTTTCTTTACTTTAGAATACATTTTCTTCATTTGCTGATTTTTATCCAGTTACTTTCTTGCAAACTCTCATCTTCTAGTCTGTTTCTAATTTCCATCTGTTCTCTTTTTCTCAACTCCAGCTTCTTCAAAAAAGTATGGAAAATGCAAATGAAGAAGGCGAAGGTTCTATGTAAATCGCCAGTTGAATGATTGGTAGACTTATTTAACGGATCAATCTGCCAACGAAATTAATAAATATTATGTGATGACCAGGGTGGCTGGATATTAGTTTGATAACTTGTTTGATAATTTCACCGTTACCAAACGAATGTGTATTACCTCCGAATAATTCTATATAGGTTTATTATAATGCTATAAAATCAGAAAGCAACAACCTCATGTTTGGCGCAGATTTAATTAAAAACTCGATCGATTTCGTGGGCAAACAGGTATAGGACCCTCGTCATCAGCTGCATAGAAATCTGCAAATCTGGAAAGCAGCAGGTCAGTTCAGGTCATAAACTTTGATTCCAAGTGTCGTCCTAGTTAAAGGACATGACTTGTGGGCTAACTGGAGATTACAGTCCAGTCGCCAAGGGAAGCGAAATTGCGCCAAATCTGGTAACCTCTTGGCTTAAATACGAATCAATGCTTTCCAATCATTTATTGCTCATTTACTGCTCATTACAATTTCTTAAATTTCGTGATAAAACGCTTTACTCCATTTTGCTACTGTCTTAAAAATAGTATATGATATGAAAACTTTTAATAGTGTTGATCCTATAAAATACATAGTAATTTCAAATACTGTGGTTAAAGTTCAGAGAATCGCTCGCTTATTTGTTTGGCGCTTTTTACAAGAGTAAGAAAAATTAGATTTTTGTCAAATTTCTTTGACTTTTTAAGTGAAAATAAGTCAGTGTGTACATGGATAAAGTCAAGGGAGTGCACACTGCCATTTTTGTGCAATTCTGGGATTTTTTTTAAGTGAAAATAGGTCAAGGTGTACATGGATACCAAGTATGTGCAATTCTTAAAAACGCGCCAAGCAGTGGATGATTTTGCACTTCCCCCTTTTTCGTTGTTTTACGTTTAAGTCTTGTTTTAGATATTTTTGCCTGTTTACAGAATTAATTCAAATTCACAACCATATAATATGACGATATGATGAGTTAGCGATTTTCTAACACGCGCGAAACAACCGGAAACAACCGATTGGTGACCTGGCAATTTTTTGAAAATTTGCCAAACTGGACCGTAATATCCAGTTTTACCGACTTGTGTCATAATATGCCCTAATAAGCTTTTAATAAGTGTGTTGGTACATTGTAGGAACGATTAAATAATGTAAAAACTGTACAAAATTTAAAAGACACATATTTAACTTGCTTACAAGTGGCGCCCTCTCTGTGTCGTAAGAAGAAATAAATGAAAATAAAATCTTGATTAAATAAGGAATAGCTAACATGTACAAGCATTTACATCACCAGCGTACGTTATGATGCACAGTACGTGGTCTTTTGTATGATTGGTCTGTAAGAAATTCATAGTTCTCTATGTTTTGTACGAGTATGGGGTGTGGTTTTAACATTTTTTTGTAAAGGTTATGGACTGAAGTTAAGATTTCGTGATAGTTTGTATTAATTTTCAAATCCCTGTGCAATACCGTATTCCTGATGAACCACGGTGAGCCAAGAATAATTCGGACAGCATTTGTATAGGCATAACATTTGTATCCACAAGCATAACATTCAATTCATAACATTTGTATGGTTATGTTATACAGAGAATAGTATTCCAGATGGAATTATTTTTGTTCGCCAATAAGAGACTAATTCCACCGAAAATGCTTGTTTGATATTTTTATGAAAAGCATAAGTAACTATGAAAAATGACTGGAATAAATGCATTGCCATATGCGCAGATTCCGCTAAAGATATTAAACAGCATCGATCTGGTCTTTTCATCAAATTACAAAAAGTAATGCATAATGCTACATGGAGACACTTTTTTTTTCACACCTAGAAGCTTAGAAGCTCTTTTCGAAGATTCGGAAATGGAGTGTGTTATAAAAAGCGTCATTAAAGTTGTAAATTCTATCAAGGGAAAAGCATTGCAGACATGTATTTTTCGAAATATCTCTAAGGACACGAGTTCTCATCTCAGTCTTCTTTATCTAAGTCTTCTTTATCACCATAATAAGGTGGATTTCAAGGAGGAACGTTTGAAAAAGAGTTTTCGAATTAAGAGCAGAACTTTTGATGTATTTTCAAAAGGAGAAATCGCTATATGCGAACTTATTTTCCAATTCGTTTCGGCTTCTAAGGCTAACTTTGCTTGCCCACATTTTCTAATACCTAAATATTTTCAATAGTAATTTGCTAGCTCGCGACGTTAATATAATTACAGCCGCAGGCAAAATTAAGGAATTTATAATAAAAAATTATTTATGGTCGACTTTAGCAGGCAAGAAGTAGTTTGATTCTTTCCAATGATTTCATGGATTTACGGAAGATAAATCCAAGCATACGTATATATTGTTACGAAATGTCCAGGCGCGGTAAGATAGCTTAAACGCAAAGCAGTTTTAGGGTTGCCATAAAATGGCAAGGGAAAACAGGGTTGACACATTTGGCGAGAAATCGCCTATTTGCCGACATTTGGCGACAACATGGGCGATATACCATGGACGGTTGGAGAACCTTCTGGAACAAATTCTTACTGGTTTAGACCAGAATGTTCTCGAACACAAACCGAAAGCTATATAGACCCTGCTGGCTCGCAGTCAGTGAGAGTGCCTCGTCGAGAGGGCGAGTGAATGTGTCTCGTCTAGAGTGCAAGTGTCTCATCTAGTTAGTCCGTGCGGAGACGATCGAGTTGACAGCCGGCCAGCGAGTGCCGAGTGGGTCGTCTAATGCACCGAAGGAGTCTCTTAGTGCATCGTCGAGAGAGCGTGTTGAGCTCCGGGAACGACTGAACCGAATAGCTGTGCTGTGCATGTCGAGTGCGTCGCGAGTTGCAGCGTAGAGAGTCTCGAGAGTACTTAGAGTTCCGAGCGAGAACGACCGAGCAGAGTCGGGAGCTGTACTCTGGTGCTTTGCAGTGAAACTGTCTCCACCGTGATAGCCTGATAACTTGAAGGCTCTGTTGCTGTGTCGCTGTTCCAGCGAGTGTATAGTAGATCTTTGAAGACTGTAAAACGTGACTTTGGAGCTGTCCTGATTAATATTGGCTAAATAAAGTGTGGTTCGATACTTCATCAAGTGTCGTTGTTATTGACTCCAAATCTAAGAAACCCTTATGTAACGTAAAGAAGAAGAAAAATAACGCAACATATGTAACAAATTTTGAGCCCGATTTTGCAAACATACAAGTTAGTTTGCTTAGTTTTAAATCCCAAAAAGACTCAAAATAATTACCACAATAATAAACCCGTTTTAGATGATTTCTTTGATATTCCTATGATTCTTTGAGAACGTCAAGGAAACATTTATTGAAATAACAAGAGAATGCAGAAATTGGAACTTTTTTCTGAGATTCCGGACCAGTTTTGGACCAAGGATATGCAGGAATACACTCAATTGGCAAATGGAGCTGTCAATGTTTGGTTCCATTTGTAATATCATTCTCATGCGAGTTAAGCTTTTCATTTATGCTTGCCGTCGCAAGTTTTTCTCAAAAGTGAGATATCGCCTCAAAGTTCAAAAAAGGATATAATTGAGTGTGTATCAAATACAAAGCGTAGATTTGAAAAGCTGCTCATTTGTAACATCATTCTCATGCGAGTTAAGCTTTTCATTTATGCTTGCCGTCGCAAGTTTTTTCCAAAAGTGAGATATTGCCTCAAAGTTCAAAAAAGGATATAATTGAGTGTGTATCAAATACAAAGCGTATATTTGAAAAGCTGCTCATTTGTAACATCATTCTCATGCGAGTTAAGCTTTTCATTTATGCTTGCCGTCGCAAGTTTTTTTCAAAAGTGAGATATCGCCTCAAAGTTCAAAAAAGGATATAATTGAGTGTGTATGAAATACAAAGCGTAGATTTGAAAAGCTGCTTTTTGAAAAGCAGACACACAGATCCCATTGAAATATTTGATTTTTTTCCCCTACTTTATGTTTTTAAACTTGTAAATAATTAATTTTTGTTTCTCAATATACGGCATGCATTTGCACGTTTAAAGTTAAATTGTTAGATGTTAAATTAAACGGATTGGATAACTTTTTGTTTGCTATGTTTGTTGTATTTTTATTTATGTTACTAAAATGAGTTATTTAAAAAGTGCCTTTTTTATTTATTTATTTTTTTTTTATTTTTTTTTATTTCGGAACTCTACTCGCGATGCGTCCCTGAAGGTTCGCGACCTTTTTACTCAAGGAACCACTGCATTTGAAGAATTATTTTGCTTCTTATCGCATGATGTTTGTAGCTTTCCTCATGGAAGTATATGCTAAAATAATTTCAAAATTTCACAATTATTATAAATATTCTTATTGCATTTAGACATTATCAATATTTTCATATATATAACTTTCTGAAATAACATAACATGGCTCACCTTCTTCCGCAGATAATGAAGCCCTTCGTTATAGGATTTATAATACCTGTGTCTCCCACTGCGAACACTCCTAAGAAAGAGCTTTTTAATTTATTTCGTACATTAATATTTTGTATACATAGAATTATTATCAATATGAATATTTTAAATGCAACATTCTTGATAGAGATAAAAAATATAAGCAAAATGATACAAAATATTTTCTGACTATTATGCATAAGATTCAGAAATAACTTTTCTGTGTTGCTCAAGTACCTTATTCGAGCAGGCTTTGTAGTCTTAATCTCTTTCATTAAATAAATATGCATAATTTTGTTTATAGTTTTAAGTGTAATTCAGAATATTATGAAATTTTAGCAAATGTTTAATAAAAAATTATCTTAGAAAATTCTATAATTTCTCAAAGATATTGATTACTATAAAACAGGGGTTTTCAACCGGTGGTACGCAAGAGAAAAATGGGTGGTACGTAAAGAAACAAAGTATTTTTAACCATTAAATTCAAAACTCTCGTGAAAAAAAAAGAACAACTGATAGAAATTTCCTGTGATAGAACTCTAACTGAAGATTGTACAAAAAACACACTTCTTAACTTTTGGCTAAACCCCTAAAAAGAATTTAAAGCCGTTTCAAGTAAAGCTTTTAAATTTTTATTGCCTTTTTGCACAACCTACGTGTGCGAACAAGTATTTTCTTCCAAGTTTTATTTGAAAAAGAAATGCAGAACAAAATTAAGATTGGGTCTTAATTTACGGTTAAAGTTAAGTAAAAAATGGAGACATAAGGAAATTGATCTCTTTTAAAACAGGCCCAAATTTCACACTAAATTTTAGAATTAAAGTATTATAATTTAAATTCTGTTAATTAAAATGGTAACCAATTTTTAATCTAATATGTTTCTATGTGTGCACATTTAATATAGCGAATAAGTTGTGCAAATGGCAAAACATATTTTTTTTAATATTTCTATTGCCACATTGAAAAATAATCATTGTAAAATGTAATGTGGTGGTACTAAAGTTTTTCAATTTTTGTTTAGATGGTACGCGTTAGTCAAAAGGTTGAGAACCGCTGCTATAGAATAATTACATCCATCGTAGCGGAAACAAGTTTTTGTAATGGTAACATGAAATCAAAATTTCATGCATATCATTTATACAGGGTGTCTCAAAAAGTCATTGCCAAACTTAACACGTTGGTCTGTCATACCATGCCAAACAAGATTTACATAAAAACTTGTGTCTGAAAATTCGAATGGCGATCGCTAGAGGGCAGTGTTCGCAGGCTTATGGGAGAGTGGGAAGTTTGATCATTTCAGGTGAGGACGTTGTAGGAGAAAGATGTTTCGGTTTAATAACTCAGTTCTTTATGGACACTTCGTGAGATATTTTGTGGAAAGAGTTTAGGTGGATAGGATGGTTGACGTTCTAGCAGCTACATGCAGAAACATATGATTTCAGCATGATCAAGCGCCTGCTCATTTTAGCAGCACTGTGCGAGAATATCTCGATAGGAGATATTCTGATCGCTCAATTGGCAAAGGTGAACCAGTCGCTTGGTCACCGCTACCCCCTGACCTGACTTCCGCGTATTTCTAACCCTAGGGGCACATGAAGTCGATGGAGTACGAGACGACAGGAACATCGGACATGGCTCTCGTTGTTATCAGGATCGTGAAAGCGGCGGCACGTGTCCGTGATACACCTGCCTATTTTGAACGGGCCCGTGAGTCAATGCTCCGACGTTGTGAAGCATGCATTGCGGCGAATGGAAGGAATTTTGAACATCTTCTGTGATTGAACAATATTAGCACCTCATTCGACATCCTTTCTTTCTTCCCGTCTACGCTTGCGAACATTTGCTCTCTAGCGGTCGCCATTTGCATTTTCGAAAGTTCCTATGCAAATCTTGTTTGTCGTAGTATGACAGATCAGCAAGTTCAGTTTAAAAACGACCTTTTGAGGTACCCTGCATTTAAAAATAATGGTGGATAATAAGTAACTGTGCTCAAGAGTGTATAGATACATTGCTCATTGCATAGCACTACTATAATGACAGTGGTCAGTATAGTTAGGAGTTTAGTTCAAATGGATTAAATTACTTAGATTATGGCAAAGCATTCGAAGTCTATCTTTCTTCGTAGAGTACTTCGGAGGGAAATTGGTTTGTATTTACAGTTAACATGACGAAAGCCAAGAAAACTTTCATACAACCAGTCCGTACGCCGAAATTTCAACATGGGACGAAATACCATCGATTCTTTTGCTAAACTTTTAATAGATCCTAGTTAGATGGAGATGAGGTCCCTGAAACATGGCTTTGTCGCGTACGGTTATTAATGTTAAGGGAAAAAAAAAACAGAATTTTCGGTATTGGTCTCTAAAAGAATCCAAGGTAGTATCCAATGATAGTATGGCACTGAGATTCTCGAGAATAGAATTTTTGGCCGTACGTTTTTGCAAATGAGCAGGCGAAGTAGTTATTTTCAATAATCAGAGGTACTCAAGTAAGTTCGAAACGTTTTTTCAGAATATCATAGGTTGTCACCGTGAATGGTAGTTTCAGGTGGAAAAAACAAACGTTCTCACAGCTAAGCTTTACAGGGCCCTTCTTCAAAAGGTTTATTCCAAGAGCAATATATATCGCTTTATGATGAACTCAGTCAACCAGTTCTGCAATCTGATTATTTTCTTCCTAAAAATATATTTAAGTTACTAAAACAAATGATTTAACAAGGTGCCTTTTTTTTAATATTTTGGAACTCCTCGCAACCTCCGCCCCCCCCCTTAGAGTGTTTACTACCCTTACTTTAGAAACCACTGCTACAGAAATATAAACTAAAATAACTTTAAAATTTCGCAATTGTTATGAGTATTCTCCTTTTATTTCACAATTATTATAAATTATCCTTCTACTATTGTCGAATTCAAAGAACGAATTCAGGAATGTATACAACAAATTTCTCAAACGATGTCTTTTAAGGAGCTATAAATTATTCTTACGAGTTCTATCGTAGTGTAAGTGTCAGCACATTCAAGTGACAATGTAAAATCCAGTCCTTGAATCCTAGAAAGGACAGAGTTGATTTTTCATGCTTTGACCTAACAGTCTTCACAAGTCTCACCCGATCAAACATGGGGTGTTAAATACATCACATCATCATCGTTGTATTTTGTGGACTGGATCTCGTTTCTCATTCAATTTGCTCTTTAAGTGAAGAGAATGTTAAGAGTTATTACGTTTATCGGTGCTTACTCTTCGACTGCAAGTGATAAGCCTCTTCAAATTGACATTGGAAAATACGCGATTTGAATCTTGGAGAGAGTACAGCTTACTATTTCTTTTATAGGTAAAAGTTTGCAATTGGGTGCCCTCGTATTTTGGTGATTCTTTTTTGAAGCCAAGATCAGCGCCAGGAAGGCAAAATTTCAAGATGGCCGCTACACAAAACCAAAATAAGAAGTCAAAGAATTGCGCAAACTCGGTGTCCATGTACACATCAATCTATTTTTACTTAAGGAAACATCAGAGAATTGCATAAACTCGGCATTGCGCACTGCTTTGACATTGTCCATGTACACATCAATCTATTTTCACTTAAAAAAAATCAGGGAGCTAAAACCAAGGTAAAACTATCACGATAACCCGAGATGGGGTTTCATAACAAAATTGAAGAAAACTTCTTGCCAATCGAAGCGGCACCCAATTCTAGACTACAGCTCTTTTATCAAATACGAAAATCCTGATAGTCTCCATAGCTTTAACATCCAAAGGTCCTCTTGCTGTCTAGACAGCAGTAATACATTCATTTATAAAGTGGTCACTTATCTTATCAGAAGCTCGAAACATGATAACATAGCAAATTTGAAAGCTTGTGCAGAATATTTATATGCGAAAAAAAATACAGATTTTCCTTCTCCATTGGCATTCTATTTGTTTTCAAAAACTGTTTATTATTTCTGATTCGTTTAAATTAAGTCTTTGCAAATAACAACAGTCCGAGGGTTGTGATTTCCGACTTATTCGAAAGGCAGTTTGTATCTAACACTTCTTTTAATTACGTTCTAATTCGTTCAACAGTGCAGAGAAAATAACATTTTTACAAATCTACTATTGATGTGTGTCATTCTAAGGTCTCTATCAGATATTGAATCGGGAACCCACAATATAATAACTGAAAAGGAACCACACTATAAGTGATGAAAAATATTTTACATTTCATTTAAAATACGTCTTACTTACGTTACATAAATATATATAAGTAAGATATAACAAAATATGATAGCTGTTTCAAAAAAATAATTGGCGTACTCAAAATTAACATTTTAAATTTGGTGATCTGCCCCTAAATTCATCCCTTCTCAGAGGTTCCAGATTTTTCTATCTTACGTAACTTTTTAATGCAGATGCCTCTTGTCCAATCAAATTAATTGTAAACCAGAACTCTGAACTGAAACTTTTCCGAATCTCATCGTTCTTCCTCTGAAGTTCTATGATACTCTGCCCTTTTTCCGCATAGCTCTCCTGCTGGCAAGATGCTTTTAAACTATTTACTTACTTAGATTACGTTGTACTTCAAAATGCAACTTGCTGTAATCAAATAGGAATTAGGAAACATCTTGTCTGAAAAAGGATGATTTGGTATGCGTAAAAAAATAAAGATTGTGATTTTTGAAGATACATTGTGCTAAATTACGTCATCCCACTCTGCCACCTTCAAGCCACTACGGTCTTCTCGGTCATCTACGCAAATATCGTAAGCTGTTAAAGTTCCACTGTTTTCATCTACGCATTTTGAAATCCTCACATATTTATAAAAAGTCGACAGGATTAACCTGGTGCAAGCTTTCCCCGATGGATTTCGAACTCTGCTACCTCAAACTACCAGTGAATCATCAAATTCGTTTCCGGTGTGTGATTTTATAAGGTATTTCTTCCACTTCCCTAGCGTCCTTCGTGGTGTAGTGGTTCTGCACGCTGGGTCGGTATTCCAGAGGTCCGTGGTTCGATTCCCAGCGAAGGCGGTTGCTATTTTTCATCTTTTCTGCTTCCAATTAACCTAATGACTCCACAATTTAACGGCATACTAAAAAAGTGCTAAAAGTGCTTTGAAAATCATCGAGTATATGTAAGTTCAAAATCGAACGTGTTTCGAAGAAATATGGTTGATTTTTCTTGTTTGCTTCGAATATTCACAATGTTTATGCATTTCCGATCATCGCGTAGAAAGAAAATTAAACATCCAAAGGGCTTTGAAAGTCATCAACCTCATCAGTGAAATATGAAATGCCAAATAGTATTTTGTGCTCTCTTGCATGTTCAGTGCATTATTCATATTCTTTATATTCTAAGAATGCTATATTATCAAAAGTCATCAAATGGGATAGGAAAGTGATATCAAGTTCCAAATTGAGTAAATTACGTTTAAAAAAATTGCATTTATAAGTTAATTGTATTATGATTTATTGATGGTAATAATTTGCTTAAATCATTTTAAAATCAGAAACATTATGCTTTATTTAAAATGTATTTTTGTATTTCTGATTTGGAAAAAAGGGCAGATTATCATAGAACTTCAGAGGAAGAAGGATGCGAGTCGGAAAAGTTTCAATGCAGAATTATGGTTTACAATTAATTTGATTGGACAAGAGGCATCTGTATTAAAACGTTACGTAAGATAGAAAAATCTGGAACCTGTGAGAAGAGATAAATTTAGAGGCAGATCACCAAATTTGAAATGTTAATTTTGAGGTTGCCAATTATTTTTTTGAAACAGCTATCGTAGTTTGTTATATCTTACAGATATATATATATATTATATAATAGGAAGAAATATTGTAGCGAGCTTGCTAAAATGTTACCAGGAGCTGTAGCTCCAGGAAATAGTTCAACGTAGTATTACTAAAATATTACACATAGAAGTAATTTTTAAAAACATTAAGATATTTTTAAAATTTAAAATTTTAATTTAAAAATATTAAGACCAGATAGGTCTTACGTCACATTACTTGTTAGCTTTTCAATTTCTATTTCGATTGTATATATATAATATATATATAACAATAGGTAGAAACATTGCAGCGATCTTGCTAAAAGTTACCAGGAGCTGTAGCTCCACGAAATAGTTCAACGCTGTATTACTAAAATATAAACAAAGAAGAAATTTAAAAAAAATATTAAACTGGAAAAACTGCTTACACGCGAAATAAAACTGTTAAAAATCAATGTTGGAAGACATGCGAATGCACGAAAATATCGCGAAATATATAATATATATATATATATAGGGAAATCACTTTTTTGAGATATGCATAGACGATAAGTGGCAGAAAAAATTGAACTGTCAGATTTGAAAATATGAACTACTTTAGCCTTTGCGGAGGATTTTTTATTGACTAACTGCAAGAAGTTTAGCATATAATAAATTTTATGCAGAAGGAAAAATGGAGTTTACATTAGAACGTTACTGCGACATTATTTTCTATGATTATTAAAGTGGGATAAATCAAGAAGAATATGTTCACCATCTGTAGTGAGTATTTGGAAATGAAAGTCTATTTCATGCTACTGTATTCAGATGGTTTACAGAATCTCACAGAGTTCGCGACTCTCTTCAAGACGAAGAACACACAGGAAGGCCGTTGTCAGCAGTAATCCCGGATAATGTCTGCTATACTGAAAATGTTAATCGATGATAATGGCTGCACCTAACAAACGATATAAAAGGAACTTAACATTGGATCCGCTGCAATACATAAAATTATTCAAGAAGAACTGGACATAAAAAAAAACTAGTTTGCCTTGCGATCCGCATAATATAAGTGAGTACCAAAAAGAGGAGCTACTTAGAATCAGGAAAGAAACCCTTAGATGGTGACCACCGCATTATTTCTAAAACCGCAGCTGATGATGAAACGTACAAACCATTGTTTGACGTTCTAACATGTCAAGAAAGTAAAGTATGAGTCTACGTAAACTACAGTCCATACTTCGAAAGTAAAGTATGGGAAAATGATCCCAATCTCACAATAGAGAAAAAACAACATACCAAATGAAAAAAGTAATTTATGCCATTTTCTACAAAAGTACAGAATCAAATCCATGAACTGGAAGGACAGAAGACAGTCACAACTAATTGGTACACCACTGTGTGTCTTCCAGAAATTCTTCAAGAAGTGAGAAGGCTCATTCTCCACCATGACAATACATCTACTCATTCAGTAAGATTGATAGTTGAGTTTCTTGAACAAAAACACGTCAAAGTGATAGAACATCCAACCTATTCACCCGATCCAGCTATGTGTGACTTTTGGCTATTTTATGTGGACGTTTTCATTCCGAAAATGAATGTTTTTCATCGATTCCAAGAAACGAATGGCTTGAGGCATTGAATCTTTGAAACACTCGCCTACAGAAGTGCATTGATGCTGGAGGAGACTGCTTTGAACACTCCTAAAATTTCGTAAGCACAATTTTAAAAATCTATGCGTATCTCAAAAATTTCAGAGCTCATATAAATATGTGGGCTGACTAAAAATAGCTCGATACCCTACCACGGAGTGCAAAACATCGATCATCTATTCAGTTGTGTAATCTTCTTGCTTTAAAAACAGTCAAAATGATAATGTCGTATACGCTCCTGTAATGTCCGCGCTCTACAGATAAAATTTATGTAAAAAAAAGTGACCCGCACAAATGTCCGCACCCCAAAAACTAAAGAATTTCTTACTTTAAAATACATCTTTTTAACATCGCCTTTTTCTCTGTAGTCAATAAACCTCTTTAAAGAAAGAATACGCATTTGTTTTGTTTTTGGTTGGCGCCAGGATGAGAAGCAGAGACTTTTCTTGCATTCTGGTGCAGCTGTTATTCAATCATAACATCGGCGCTAGCAATTTACTCGGCAGACGCGATAATAAATGAAGGCCGTCCAAACAGTTTTTAACTACACTGGTTTCCAGGAAATACTGTTTTGTAATGAAACTACTTTCCCCTCCTTCCCCCTTGGAACATTCGCATATTTCAAGCTTTCTCTTTTCATTCATAGTATCATTTGGAATTCGTGGTAGTTAGCAAGTAGCGTGTTTGAAATGGGAAAATACAGCAGCTATACAGCTGCTTTTAAACTGAAACTCGTAGAATTTGAGCGTTGCGTATGTTCGTGATATGCGTGCTCAAGGGTACGCAGTAACACGGGATATATGTGCCAAAACAAGAGTGCTTGCTGCGGCACGAGAAGAAGACCTTCCTACATCGCAATTCAAGGCGAGTGAAGGTTGGCTGCGGCGCATGATGAGACGAAATGGATTTTCATATAGTGCATCAGAACAGATTTTTTTAAAGAAAATAATGTGAGCAAGATATTAAAAGAACCAACACTTACTTAATTTGTGTAAAAGTATTAAAATTGCAAATGTTGGTTAATTTATGTCTCTATACTCTGCTCCTCTGCAAACTAAACGTATACGGGGTAACCGAGTGTTGATAACGTAAACGGGGTAATTTATAATATATTGGATAGGATAAAGTTAGTTTGTAAATGTTAGGTAGCTATTAGACAACTTTAAATTCGATACTTTTATTACTTAGCCATTTTCTTTAATTTTAGAATTTAAACTGGTTGTTGGAATTGAAATTTACACCCAAAATTACTCACGAGAATAAACGTGACATTTGAACGAACGTGTAATGTCCGCACCTGCATTTTAGTGATGTAATTTTAGTAAAAAAAGTGCGGGCATTACATGAGAGTATACGGTAACAATATGCATATTAAAATGATACTACCTATATGCACTATTCTTGTAATAGTTAGATGCATATAGTCAAAAAGAAAAAGAAACCGATAGGATAACTATTGTAATTTATTTAGAGGCAGTAAATACTTTTCTGGTATTAACATTCGTATTGAAAGAAAAAATACCTGGAAACTTTGAAAAATACTTTTCTTTAAACACAGAACGATCTTCGTCACCCCATAAGCCCAAAGCCAAGAAAGGTACAGGTTTCACTATCACAATTTCTCCGGGCTCACCTATTACAGATTTACCTGCGAAAAGACATTTGAATAAAACCAGAATACATTAAATTACCAAGTGAAAGCAAAAGTAACATTAAAAAATATCATAACATTGCAGGGTTTCTTATTTTCACCTTGCTAAATGTAGTGTCTAGGAACTTAGTGAACTACTAAGCTAATAATCGCGTAAGTTCAAAAACAGAAACGTTAATTCAAGAAGGTTAATTGCCGTTTATTTGCTTCAAACAAAGATATAAAGTCGGCCTCTTTCTCAAAGCATACAGAAAAGCCTCCACTTGGGCTTTAACTCAAAATGTAAGACATAAGAACTAACTAAAGAAATTTAGCCGAAGTTAACACAGTTCTAAGCTAGTTGGCCCGTAATATTAAATTAGCCAACGAAGCTATCAAAATGCACAAAATACGGCCGAGCGTAGTAACAGCTAGAGAGACGTAGTCAAAAGGAAAACGCCCGCTATTCAGGAATTCTAACTCTCTCTGGCGAAGTCAGTTGAACTTGACTTAAATATTACTCTTCTTCTCATTTGCATTTAACGTGATTGTAAAACCTTATTCTGATAAGGAATTGTATACTGAAGCTAGAAGAGATAGGAAAATGGCATATTGCAACATAATGCACCTTCTAATGTAGATAAATTCTTTCAAAATATTAATAAAGACGTTTGGGATACACATATGCAGTGATAGGAGAAAATAATTAAATCCGATATAACAAATAAGTTTAAATTGTTTTAATCCCGTTACTGTTATTTCGAGAACTTTGAAGCGATTGTTCCCTTGTAGATTTGCGTGCATTATAACGTCCCCCTGTTTGTCTGAAAATGAATATAACTGTGTTCAGCCAGTAAAACAAACCGATATGCACAGTGCTTCGTTTCATTGATTTTCAAAAGGAATAAATACAATTAACAAGTTGTTTCATTTTCTACAACTTCTGTAAGAAATTTACCAAGTCAAGTTGTACAATACTTACTGCACTATGAGAAGTGATCAAATCCGTTTTCAAGAATCTTTATTGTGATCGCGAGAGAGCAAAAACCAAAATTCCTCAAAATCATACAATCAGGAAAAAATGATAAAAGCTGTGCAAATGCTATATATAACGTAAAAATTTCAAAATTATTACATTTAGGCGTAGGCTCAAATCCAAAACATTATACAAACCTAATTAAGAATAGGCGACTTTCAATCCTCTTGAATTAATAATAGATAATCGTCATGCATTATGCCGAAGAGGTTTTAGGGTCATTCCAAAGATATATCAAACCAACTACTTTCTTTTAAAACTTATTAATTGTTGACGTAAAGGCATTTACTGAAGTCTGCATAATGCTATTTGTTAGCAATTGCTCTGATCAGGAAATCAGGAGCCAATATTCATGGCATAAGTCAGTAAATACTGCATTTCAGTGGCCAGTTCCTAATGTATCCAAGCTTACGATAGTCTGATAGTAAAATTAGTACACCAAAGAATCATGGTATTCATAAAAGAATTAAAATTATTTACATTGAAACGATAGGCTTCACTTCTGTAAATGAAACCTCCAGCTTTTATAGTTATCCTTACGAACTTCAGCAAAATAGATCACATATGACGGCAGAATGAACACTTGCGCAATCAAATTTTCATTCTACCAGGAAAGCAATATAGGCAGGCAGCCTCGTGCAGTTCTTTCATATAGGAATTCACTCTATATGCTCGAAACAACGGGATTCTTCCAATGGAGTTACACACTGCCATTCATTTATGGTTAAATAAATATTGAGTGGAATTAAAAAGACTTATGGTTCTCTGTTCCAGAAAAGGCTTATTACCCAAAACAGTGGGATCAGCAGCGGCTTCTGTATTCACTCACGACTTCTAAATTGCAGAGAATGTACGCTGCAAAATCAGTAAACTGATGGTTTCAGCTGTAGCAGTGTTATTGAATCAGACGACCATCTAACATCTATGACATCCGTCGCACGCTTGTACCGCGTATGCTGGATTGTTCATGTTAATACTGGTATTTATAATTTTGCTACCTAAATGTTGATTCCAAGGATTACCATGTTCTTATTATTGAATCATACGACCATCTCACATCTATAACATCCGTCGCACGCTTGTACCACGTATGCTGGATAGTTCATGTTAATACTGGTATTTATAATTTTGCTACCTAAATGTTTATTCCAAGGATTACCATTTTCTTTTGTTAATAGTAGGATTTAATATTTTGCTTTATGAGATTAAATGCAATTCCAAAGCATTATTACTTATTTTTATTTTTTACATTTTTTCGCTGTAATGATTTGAGAAAATTCACTTATACTCAAGCTATTTACTGCACCAACCTAAATAGGTTACACTGGCTTGGTTAAATCTGACTGTTTGATATATTTACTTAAGAAAGGACACTTAGTTTTTTTTAATTTAATTTGATCTAACTAAATTACTATTTAATTAAATAATTATGTTTTTCAACTACGTATCTAAACGTAATTAATTGTTTTATTTAATGCATTCTCCGCTCTAACATCGTCGAAATGCTTCGTTTTGCAGGTGATGCCGAATTTGCCCAATTCTGTGATGTTTTTTATATGCTATCGGTCGTTGTCTAAAAAGAGTAAAGCATATTAGGTGGTATATATAATGTTAATGTTTGCAATGCCAAAATTTCATAATTTTCTGATATTTTTAAGCGAAATAAGATGCACAGAGAAAGATATTATTGTATACTATAAGAAAGATATATTGTATATTATGTATAGAGATGTTTAATGTTGTTATGGTTTTTGTATTTATTTAGCTATTATACAATTTAACTATAAATTCTACTATTACTACCTAAATTTAGTTCTTATTAAATTTACGATACAATCGAATACAGAATCGATTACTATTCTCTATTTCTACTTAAATTTAATTACAAATTCTACTATTTTCAGTAGAATTTGTAATTAAATTTGTTTTATATTCCCGAAGAATGCAGCACGAGACTTATATGAAGAGAAAACTACGTCAGAAAATTAAAATACAGGAACACGCGCATTTAACATTTTAATAAATAGATATCTCGTAATTGTAATCCTTTGCTATCCAGAAAAATCGAAAAAATATCAGAATATTCTCGTGCACGATTAAAAAGCTTACAAAAGCCGGATTAAAGCATCTCAATTCAGTTGTTTAGTAGTTGTTTACTTATTGCTGTTATTGATTGTAGCGAATTCGCGGTGAGATCGGATTAGCTTTTTCAGTGTTTTTGAATTTAGTTCTATTTAACGTTTTAGTTGTTTAAAATATAAAAACTGTGAGATATTGTGATATCGGGCGAATAATTTTGAGGAACTTTCAGTATTTTATTTGGTTCTTTGTGGTAATAATAAATTTTATTTACTTCTTATCGACTTGTGCATTCAATTTATTACGAACCCGTGTGCAAGCAGCAATATTAGCATTTTGGTATGTTTAATGTGCATTGTTGTAACTATCATTAGAAAGCAATAAAGAATCAAAATTGTACTTTGAGGATGACATAATTCAAAATATACAAACCTCTTTGCCATTAGCTAATAAAGAGAGAGAGGGGCAAAAAAGGAAATTCTTTCTGTTGTGCCTCGCGAGGCACATGCGCGTCAGAAAAAGAAGGCTGCGATGTACGTGTTGCGTGTATAATTAATAATATTTTATCTTACATCTTCAACAGTCAGCAGTCCAGTATACAAAGCACTAAAGGAAAAACCCAAAAACCACACTTTTAAAGAATGAAACTATTCAATATGATGCGATTTCATCAAAAAAAATAAAATAAAAAAAATCTGATTCGAATTTTGAAAAGCATCGCTTCGACGTGCACTGGCTCTTGTTTAGACGCACCTGTGTACCAAATTTCGTAGCCCTGTGTCTATTAGCTTACGCGCAGCACGAACGAAAGTCCACACAGACAGACTCTTTCTTTTATTATATGTAGAGATTATATTTTTAATCATCAGTTTTGTATTTTAAATTGCATTCATTTGCTTTCTTTTGATATGTGGATAACGTTTACTGAATTATGATGAATATCGATAGTTTGACGACCTTTCAAAAAAATTGCTAATTGATGACTCACTTAAGATGGCAGTGTTTGGATAAATGGTAATCTGAGTACTTAAGATTATTAAATCGAAATTTAAGAACTCTCGAAATACGGTAAGTGTGACCCATGCAATACTCTACTATAACTGCATTAATAACGATCTTTTACCTTATAGTCTATTTCATTTTAAATTCTTGGTAGAGATGTGCAAGACGCACCGGTCGCCAGATTTGGCGTTTTTAGATCTGGCATGGTAACTATGCGATTTTGGCAGATATTGTCTCGTATCATAGCCCATTTAGCCAGTTTGTGGTTTAAGAGCGTTGAATAATATTTCATGTTTTCCTTTGGTTGGTTTTTTTATTTTTGCTAAGCTTAACGAATCTGTGAAAACGGGGTTTTCTCGCCAAAAATTTCTGACAGTAACTTTTGTACGGTGGCCGCCCAGACGGTATAATGGTTAGGGAAGCCTGACTGCGATACTGAGGGGCACTGAGAAGAATCCTGGAGAAGGCATGGATGTAAAACTGTCTGCCCCTTTAAAGGAGGTAACGGTGGCTGCCTATTAGGTGCTTCCACAATAAACAGGCCGATACTTCTGGCCTTATAGTGGCCAATGCTGTTACAAGCAAGTGCACGCAATAAAAAAAAAAAAAAAAATACTACGGTAACTTTCTCAAATTTCGTCGATGCTGTGTGTCTGGCACATCTGTTCCAAATTAATTTTTAATTCAAAATTATATGTTTATAAAAAATATTTTTAGAATAAATAAAATACCTTTCTCGTCCAAACATTGTATATCAATACCTAATGATGCAGCTGGAACTTCGCATTTGTAAATAGGTAAAGAAGGGTCATGCCACATGCTGGGCCCCATTACCTCGGCACAACCTAAAAGTTATGAAATTGATGAGTCTATAATACTTTCTTCGAGACAGCTGCACCTTCAGACTTAATTTCTAAGTCTACAATATTGCATTTACCATGGGAACACTACAACTAAATTAAAATATAATATGTAAAAACGTAGACAGGTGCAAAAGAAATTGAAAAGTACTTATGAAAAATTTCTAGAACATATTAGCAGTCAATAACTGCAATTATAAATTAGATTTTCTCTCAAACGCTAAAATAAAAATAATTTTTTTAATTTTCTTTCAAATGAAATCTTTTCTGTACTTCTTTACTTTTCTGTACTTCTTTACTTTTCTGTACTTAGTATTATTATTTTATTTCATGTATCAATTTTTCTAGTCATTCCAGTCAATCTTATTTTCCCTTTGGCAGCTGAGGATGATGGTTCGGCAAAACCACCAAAACTAGTCCTGTGAAAATTTGCAAATATAACGCTGATTTTTGTTGTTTGACTTCTAAATTAATATTCTTCAGTTTCTAATTCAGAAGTCAAACAACAAAAATCAGCGTTTTATTTTCAAAATTTCAAAATTTTATATTTTCAAAATTTTGTAAACTATCTTGCAGATTTTCGGTATTAAGGGATGTTTTTTAATTAAATATCTGTTGAAAACTTGGGTATTGCTGTTTAGAAGCTTTATATGCAACTATTTTGATATTTAGTAGTTTGTTAAGTAGCTCTGCGGAGTACGTTGCTCGTTATATAGAAAGTGTCAGTGTTTGACAATCTAGAAATATGTTAGGAAACAAAAATAATGCTGCAATCAAAAGGCTTTAGATATTTAGAGAAATTTACAACATTTTCGTTGTTTGAATTCTAAATTAATAGCACGCATCGCTTTAAAAACTGCAGATGACGGGCAATTTAATCTCCAAGACCACAAATGATCTGCAGTGAGAACTGACCTGTATTACCATAATGAAGTTCAAGTCTATCGTAGTGCAGTACTTTAGGTTTGGAAGAAAGAATTCTGTGCATTCGCATTAACACATCGTTCAGTTCCTAGATCACACAGATCTGCAGCTTGATCGCCGTGATCTTCCAACGACGATTGGGATACCACAAACAATTCTGATCTATTTCTTTGAAATCCCTCTTTGTGGACTTGGCACGGTATCTCGTTATTTATCCTGATCGCTGTATTGATTCTTTCTTTAGCAAATGGATGAACGTCTTCTAAACGTATCTGCAAATCTCTCAGTTATTTCTGAGTTCAAGAAAGGGTGTCCGGCGGTCGCCCATGTTGCGTTACAAATTTAAATTAATTGCTATTAAGGCTTATTTAAAATTTTAAATGAAATTTTTAAATAAAGGGAGAATTTATTTTTGGCAGTTTGAAGATTCATTACATTCAATTCTCAGTGTTGCTAATTTCTCAATGCTGAATATTCTGGGTGGTCAAAATTGGACAGAGTTTTTTAATTTGTTTATGTGTACATCTGTTTTGGTCGTAGTTAAAACAGGGGGATTGTTAGTTAAAATGGTGAACGCCGCTTCCTCGTTTCGGCTTTGCTGTAAAAACGAGAAAAGTTTCAATTTAAAGAATAAATTGCTACATGCAAATTAAGGTGCTACGAGGGTTTTTTTGTGACCTAAGGGCAAAGCGAAGGATTTTGTTGCGTTAGTAATTAAAGATGGGAAGTGGAATATACCCGGCTTTGAAAGATAACAGCAATCTAATTTTACCTCATGCGTACGTGACGCTTTGCTGCAGGTGGTTAAGATGACAGGTTCTTGAGAGCAGTTGTGTTTGAGGGAGCGAAAGAAAATGAAGAGAAAGAAAAAAATAGATCCATTAATCAGAGCATAATTTTAATGTTCCAGCTTATGATATTTTGATGGGCGTGGATCCCAGATTTCTTCGAGGTTTCTGTGAAAGGTAGAACTCAGATTTAGCTGTGATAGCAATTAAGTAAAGGAAAAAATGTACTTAGTACTGTTCATCCCCCTTTGCTCTTGTAGCGTCGAGGTGGCCGTTTTACGAATCCAACTTACCAGCAGTAAGAGTAAGGAAAATCAGAAGAATTGTTACGTATTTGGTGCTTCTCACCATTGCTCAAATACGGGCAAATACATTAACTTGATAGATTTTCAATGGTCGAGTGCTAAATGATTTTGTTCTTTTTTTTCCATTCTTCAGTGTGATTTATGCAGAACGGAGATATGACTCCCGAACGCATCTGTGTCTCCAGTTCTTCCCTTCTTTATGTTCCTGCGGTCTGAGTTGAGTAAAAACTCAATTTCATCCAGTGTTCACCTCGAGGTCCACAGAAATGAGAACTTATTAGTTTTTCCTAAACTCATATTTGATGAGCTTTAGTGATGAACGATTTCGTGAAATCAAGAACGTGATCCTATACTGTAAACACAGAGAAGTTGAAGGAAATCAATGCATCCCAAGAAGCTCCTTGTGATTGATGTTCACCTCCAACTGTGACAGGTTTTCAATTATTGCTTATTCATATGTTTTTTATTGGTAATGTTGCATCGCTTAATGCCTTGAAAGTACTTTTATACCTTATTTTGTAACTAACAATATTTATGGACTAACTGTCAAGCCGAAAAATTGTAAGTTTAAAGTTTTATTACTGCAAATAAATGACTGAGATATAGTATTTTTGTTATTGTTTAACATGCCTAAATTTGTAAATACTGAAATATTTCCAAATGGAAAAACTGTACTAGTAAAATGAGTTAAAGTATTACTGAACTAAGGGTTATAGAATTTGGTATTAGGAATTTAATTTAATAAAATATTAAATGCAGAAGATGCGCAAGGTTTGTATTAGTTGAGAGGCCAAATGTATGTCTCTACGTTTAGAATCCGAGTATTTTAAGAGACTGTAGGTTATGGGCAGTTAAAACAGTTATCTGAACGTTACTTAACCAAGAAAATTAATAAATATGTTTATTGTTAAACCTTTTATGCATTATTTCTGTTACTATTTTGTGGTCTATTATGCTCACTCCATTTTCTTGACCGAAAGTTTCTGGAAACGTGGAGTTCCATGAGAATTTGGGTTTATTGATAAAACACAAAACAAATAAGACTTCATATATTAACCACTTATTATTGAGATGATTACTAAATATTTGGTTGTTTGAGGGTACCGAGAAAATAGTAAAACAATTATAGTATATAATGATTGATTATTATTGTGAACTGGTGATTAAATCAATTATTTTAAATCTGGATTTTCCTTCTTTGGCGTCTTTGGGAGCTTTGTAATTTGCTTTCCGAGTTTTGCCTCTGTCTCTATAGTTCAGTGAATTACTCCAAGTCCATAAATTAAGGATAATGCCAGCTTCGGCAAATAAAGGTTCAGAAACAAAACAAACGTGACTTATTCATAAAGTCCATTTATGAAACAAAGGATAACAAAGAACAAAAAAGATGGTGTATGTATGATACCATTCATAAAAACTACGATATTTGCTCCTGGCAGCAATTAGAAAAAAAGATCTCCCTTACAAAAACTTACATGGTTGGTATATGATGATTAATACATTGTCTGTCTTTCAAAAGATGAAATACAGTCCGTACAACGTCTAGGCATGCTGAGTATCAAATTATCGAGTTGATCTTGGGGAAGATTACGCCACTCAGAAAAAAATGGTCTCCGAAGTTCCGGTACAGATGTTAGAGGTGCTTGACGGGCTGCAGTTCGTCGGCCAAGCATGTTCCATGCATGATGTATCAGGTTCAAGTCAGGTAAGAATGCTGATTAGTCCATATGGGTGATATCCTCAGATTGAAGGCATTCCTTTACAATGTTTGTACGGTGAGGATGGACGTTGACATCGATAAACATAAATTCTGCGGCCATGGCACCCTTAAACAAATGCACATGTGGTTCCAGAATGATGTCCAGGTAAATTTGACTTGTCGTGGTTCCCGATATGAAATGCAGATCTGTTCTGGATCTCGGTATAATTCCACCTCTAACAAACAATCCTGCACCACTCTAACGGTGGTGTCATTCAATAGTGTTGTCTTGGTGCTAGCGGGTACCTCGAGTTCTAAATATGAAAGTCCGACGTGCATCAGACAGCAAGCTAAATCTGGATTCGTTGGAAAACATCACACAAGCCCACTGTGAAGATGTCCGCATTGCATGTTCTCTACTCCAGGCTAACCGCTGGCGATAGTCATTTGCCGTGAGCGGAAGACTTGCAAGCATCTAGACCAATTTGTTCCTAACGTCTGCGCATCGTTTACCTGAAACTGTCGTATCCGTGGTTGAAGACAGCTGACGAGACAGGTCTGATACTGGCTCCGCCTGTTTCTTTTGGCAGTTACTGCCAAATATCGGTCATCATTCGACGTTGTAATTCTGGGGGGGGCGACCTGTACTGTAATGTCTACTGACATTTCCATCATTTTGGAGTCTTTGTCAAGGCCTAGAGATGACACTTTGAGCTAGTCCAAGTTCCCCGAACACTTCCATCTGAGTGCACCTACATTCCAGGCGGCCGATAATTCTACCATGTAAAAAATCATCCCACATGCATCCTCTTTGCCATAACTATTCGTTTGTGGCACAGAACGCTTGTGAACAATTTTACTTCTTTGCTTACATTTTGTTCATACACTTCCTTACACTCTTGTCATTGTGACGTACTATCGGCGTCATCTGATGGTTTCCTGTAATTTGCATATTATTCTTAAAGATGTGGGCGATTATTCTACAGGTGAAATTTGTACTTTAGAGTTCAATTTTCGTGTGATTCTGAATTATCCTTAATTTATGGACATGTGTGTATCATGTACTGCATTTGCATGAGAATTATGAGCTTTCAGGAAAGTCTGAAGGTTATAGCCTATTTAAAAGAGAGATGACATTTTTTAAAACGTTTATTGAAAAATGATATATTTTGATTTTATACCAAGCTACTACAGAAGAATTTATTTTACTTTCCTTTCAAGCTGCACATTTAATAATTAAGAATTTGGAATTTGAATTGAACTGCTTTACACAGACAATGATTTATATAATGTAATCGAACGACAATCACCAGTTTTTAGATTTCAGACGTTAAGTGAGGTTAGTTTTACATAGTTTCCGTTACCAATTGTTGAGTTATTTTGCAGAAAGTTATATTATTACTTACAGGAACCCATTATACAAAATTCACTCAGTACCATTATAAAAATTCACTCACTTTATATAGCATCCGAAGAGCAGGTCACAAGGCTGAGGAATATTATGGTCCAAAATCATTTAAACGGAGAAAAAAAACAGTGCGCTCTTCAACAACTCCTATTAGGTAGCATAGAATAAGAACAGTTTTCGATACCCATTCTGCTGGCTCCGTACTAGAGAGAGGATTTTAAATGCTCTCCAGTTCAATCTGTCCACCATCGCTTCCGATTGTAGATGTAAAGGAATGTTTAATTCTTTTCTGTACCAAAAATCCTACACAGTTCTTTAAATATGGTGAATGTCATATTTATTCCTTGGTTAATATTAAGATCTTCTACATACTAGGAAACCCACAATTTGAATAGAAATTCTGCTGTGCTCGGAAATTCTTGATCAGAAATCGCTTACAGCCATTTATTATAGTAGCCTATGGCAACGAAGATATACTTGTCGCCCCCTATTTTTACGAAGTAAGGATCCAAGAATATCCATAATGATCCTTTCGAATGATGCTTCTACACTGTAGCATTGTAATCTTCCATGGGTATGTGTCTGACGGCGTCTTAGATCTCCATACCCATCAGAGTGTTCCGCCACTTTCCTACCCATGATTTTTCTCCTTTGCCTTTGTCTCAGGAAAAAAGTTCACGAACTTTTGAAATGTCTTTGGTACACTAAAAGGAATCCACAGTTTGATGGAGCATTAGGGAAATGAGATCTCTGAAAGATGAGTTGTCACTTGAAATACTTTCCATCATTAAGCTTCCCATTTTATAGTAGCCAACTCCATCTCGCAGATGATGTGAATCTCATAAAACCCATTATCGTTTCATCATCGGACTAAAAGATGCTCTTTCTTGCTAGCGGAATGTTTCACTTGCTGTTTCCATATTTCTGCTCTCAGTTCATAATCTACCATTTGGATCTGTCCCATCAGCGGCCAAATGGTTAAGAACACTGAATGCTAGTAATTCAATCCACGCTCGAGCCCAGGCAAATGAACTGGCTCCAAGGATGTTTTTTGAGAGTTTTTCCCATTTATGATGTCATTACGAGCTAGTTACAAGCTAGCTTCTTCTTGAGGCCTGTCTACTTTTGCATATCCAAGTAATCTAACGTAATCACGATATATTTCATGAACAGAGACTAGCAGCTTAAGCAGTCTTTCACAGTAGCAAGCGTTTACTGCCAGGCAGTGTTGAAGACACGGTAGTACGGGTTTACTATTGGAAAGAGCTCAAGACACGGTAATCAGTGTTTACTATTGGATAGTGCTTTTGTTGATGGTTCAAAAGCGAATACATGAAAGGTATTGCATTTTACTTATTAAAAGCAGCGATAAAATTATCTGCCACAATATTTTATTCTTGTGTTCAAAAGAAAACTAATAACTATGAATAGCTTAAAAGCTAAAATTAATCTTTTAAATCCATTGCTAATTTCACCTTCAATATGACAAGTTTCGTGAAGAAAATGAACTAAAACGTTAAATGAAAGCAAAATAACTTTGTAGTTTGAATCCATACTTTATTTAAGAGAAGTAAAGTTGAAGTTTAGTTGAAAGAAGAAAAAAAATGTACTTACCATACATAGCAAAAATACGTAAACCCTTTTTTAATTTTCTACAGAAATCAATGTTTTGAGGTCTTACGACTGCTCCACTACTCGTAAAAACTTGAAGTGAATTTAAACTATGCTTCTCCGCTATTAAAATGAAATTAAAAACAATTAGAAAGAGAAATATACGTGTATATAAATTTATATAAACGTGCATAAATAAATAAGGCGGATAGAAAAAGCTAAGATTCATCTAAGCTCTCTGAAGCTCTAGATTAAATTTAAGTAGCACGAAATTGCATTAATTCATTCGTTTAAATAATTATATATAGTCTACACAGTATGAAAATATACTTCAAATCAGAAATTATTTCTAAGGATTTGTTTTATTTTGATAAAATAGAAAGGGTAACTATAAAACGTAGAGAGGCATGAGTACTTCAGGTGGGTTCTCTGCTTCCAGAGAAGGTAGGGTCGTTCCATTTTTATCCTTCGAAAGAAGAAAACTTTCTTTTCATATAAACATAAGTTTTCCTATACTTGCAGCAAATACATAAACATCAATACCATAATGACCATCAGTTCCGTAATAATGCACAGAGTTCAGATACAAAACTACAAATATTACTTCCTCAAAATATTACGTTAATAAAAATTAAGAATCTTACTTGGTATATACCCTTTCTTTTCCAAATCGTCCAGAATACTGGGTGTCAGAAAAAGGTGAGAAATTTTCAGTTCATCTATCATGTCCCATAGAAAAGTTGGGCTGAGGAAATAAGGGTGACCTTCGAATAGGACAAGAGTACAACCTATGAACAGCATATTCGTGTACATATTCCAGGAAGCCCAGCCTACCTGTAAGAGAAAATTGTGTAATAGGAATTCTAAAATGCTTTCGTTCATTTAGTTCTTCCATACAAGGGTTTAAAATTTATAAATTGAATCATACGGTTTCAATTGTTGACAAGACTTGGAAGAGTCTGGACTACTTTAAATGTGAGATCCTTCGCGTGCAGACCTCCGATCCTGTGAAACGTTCATTTACAGGAAAAGAATTCTTGTCAAATGATTACATGAAGATAGCCGTATGGATGCAGATGATAATAAACGTTTTCATCAGAAAGGAATTTTACTTATATTTCGTCAATAAAGCGACTACCTTAGCACAATGGAAATTCCTTCACAATCAAACGAAACTATAGGGATATACACTTTCGAAAACAGAATCTTCTAGTTTCATTCTTTACATTATGCGCCAAATTAAAGTTATTTTTTTTAGTTGTACAACAAACTGTTTTCAGTTCTTTACCCCACTATGAAGTATACTGAATGATTATTGGATAAGTCACATAACAAGAATCAGCGTTATGTTTGTAAATTTTGCAGGACTCTATAGTACCATCTTCCTCGGCTACCAAAAAGCAAATGAACGAGACAAGATAAGGTGATAAGATAAGATAAGAATGGCTGGACAGGAATTAAGCTACTGGCACCATCTATTGATGAAACAAGAAAATTAAAACATAATTTCCTTAAAGGCTGAAGGTAAATATGGACTGCAGTTAGGGTCATTAAATAGAAGAGAAAATAAATTTTAATGTGAAGCGCCTATAGAAAATCTAATTCAACAATGGAAGACTTTTCTTAATAACTTGAGTTGCAGAAAAAGGGAAAATGTGATTTTCGGACCAACAGGGATGGACAACAGGGAATTTCTCATATCAATAAAATTCCCAATTCCATACTTAAGGACCCCATTCCGGATATGAATTCCTAAAGTATTTATAAAATTCCTTGCCAGTTTGGTTTAATTTACATTGGTCAAACTAAGAAAGCCTTAACATTTCGCATTAAAGAACATGAGATATTTGTTAGGAAAAAGAAAACACAGAAGTTCTCTCTTGCCCAGCACTGTTGGTCCGAAAATCACACTTTCTATTTTTCTGCAGCCAAAATTATTCAAAAAACATCTTCCATTGGTGAATTAGATTATCTAAAGGCGTTTCACATTAGAAAAAAATCTTTTTGTTTTAGTTAAAGACTGTAATTCCAATCTATCTTTACATTCAGCTTTTAAGGAAATTATGTTTTAGTTTTCTTGTTTCATCAATAAATGGCGCCAGCAGCTTAACTCCTGTACAGCCATTCTTATCATATCTCGTTCATTTGCACTTTGGCAGCAGAAGAACATGTTTCTGTAGTTAAACCATTGAAACTTGTCCGGCAAAATTTACAAACATAACTCCAATAATCATTATTCGGCGTGTTTAAAATACTGAGTATGAAGTTCGTGCCTGATTTCCATAGCTGGTTCAAATATAACCGCTGGACAGGAACGGTATTTACTTCTCTGCCATCTGGTGCACCGATATTTAGGTAGGAATGTGATGATTCATTTAGCGGCGGATATCTGAAGTCAGTTTGTGTGAGTAGTCTTTATTAAAAAGAGAATGAAAAGTTACTTTTGAACCATATTATGTTTCATGTGTTTCTAAGAAAAAGTCAAAAAGTAAAAAAAATTAAAGACGTATATTTATAATATGTTTTGTAAAATTCGGGCAATCTTCCGAAAAAAAAAAATGATGACGTCGTGCTTGCTTGAAGGGAATGTAGCCAAAGGATTAAAATTTTCTCAAATATACTCTAGCATATAGGGTCCGAAGGAACGTGTTGAAAGTTAAATTTCATAATTTATACAAAACTGAGTTGTTTAAATTTAAGAAATATCAAAAAATGAACACTTGAAATATTTTTAAATTGGATGTAACTTTCTACGACCAACGGCTGCAATAGCAAAGAACGCATACGAACGATACGGTGTAAAATGTGGATACGGTGTACAAAAAAAAAGTATTTTAATTAGATACATATATTTAAATAAGTGTTGGTTAGCATGTCATTGCTTACGTACACCTCTCAAAATGAGAATCACATTGCCAAATGTATGTCTTTCTTAAGAGAACTTAATTACTGGAATATTAAATTTAGAAATTTCCATTTAAGTTATTTTTTATGTGCATTTTATTTAGCTACACGTAAGAATGTTAAAATTTGAGGATTAAATTAACTTCATCCTTAAAATAATAGAAATATACAAAGGAATTTAATAGAAAAACTCTTCAAATAAATTTATTGCTCAGTTACATATTTATGAAAAAAAGTAAACCGAAATCTTCTTACTGGTGAAATAGAGAGCCAAACGACTTCTCTATTAGGTTTCCCATATGTTCCAAAGTCCCTTGCAGTGGTCAAAAGAACCTTGAAGCATAAAATATAATTGAACCTGTTAATAAAGCATTTTAATCATAAAGCTAAATTACAGGCACTGCTTACATCAAATTAATAAATATAAATTAAGTACGTCAGTCTGATTCAATAAGCGAATGACAAAATTCTTATATTTATTCAAAATAAGTCTAAAAAATTTAGCTGTCTTGATAAACATTTTATGCTATGTATTTATAATAAAAATTCAATAATATAATTATATTAACATTATTGATTCCCTGGTGTTCTCTGTCGCCACGAAAGTGAACTAACACACGCCGTGCCCAAGTTACATGCAAAATCATATGATTAGGTACCATGAATATTATTCTACTAGGAATCAGTATCAGTAATTGTATGTTATTCAACAATCTAGTTGTACGATTATGTATGTTTATCTATTATGTACGTTTATCTATTATGTATTATGTACGTTTATCTATTATGTATTATGTACGTTTATCTATTATGTATTATGTATGTTTATTATGAATCAGTATGTTTGTGTATTATGTATATTACGAATCAGTATGTTAATCAGTCATCATATCTACCATATATGTCAGTAAAGTATGACCTGTTCAGTGTGAACTAACACACGCCATGTCCAAATTGCACGCAAAGTGATCAGATCACGCACACACAACACACTAAGCTTGATTTGTGCAATCCAGTATTTGTATGTAACTCAGAAATTGTGTAAGACAGTAACTGTATGTATGGCACGGAATTATTCAGTAGTATGATTATGTGTCATGTATGCTTTTGTGTTATGAATCAGTATCAGTAATCGTATATATGACACGGAGCAATTCAGTTGTATGATTACGTATCATGTATGTTTATCTATTATGAATCAGTGTGTTTATCTAGTTTTGTTTGTCAAATGCCAGTTACATTGGCCGTCAGGCCATTAAACTCCTTGCTTGCCAATAGCGCTGAAATCTACAAGAAAAATTTGTCAGTCCTTCACACTCGTCCGCCGTCATTAGCCGTCCACTATTACATAAAACACACAACGGTGAATCAGCTAATCCAATGCGAAATAAATGATTCTGTAGATAGTCATGCCTCGTCAATAGTCTTAAAAGATGCAACCACAACTGTTCGCGGGTGATCAGAAACAAAAGCTGGGTTTGTTGAGAAAACACTCCACGGCTTGCCCTCATAAGCCCGAGTGGCAAAATCTCTAAAAGTCTTTTGATATGTTAGCGATGTCAGAAGCTTGATAGAATGGAAGCTTGCAATCGTTTTTGGCTTTAGGAGAACTGTAGCTCCCCTTTTTCGCAAGCATATCAGCCATCTCATTCCCATAAATACCCCAGTGTGAAGGCACCTATTCAATATATATCTTGTGAGTAATTTTTTATGACTTCCTGACACTGTTGAACTTATACGCACTGTTGAACACTGTTAGCTAAATCTGCTACAGCTTTGCCGCTTGTTGATGGCTCCTTGGAGATTCTCCAAAGTGTCCTTTTCAGGACAAACTGCGCTTAGTGATCTCACCCGTAGCCAGTGTAATTCAGTCAGCTTTTCTCATTTTTAAATGTGTTTCTTATATTTAATCACGAATCATTACATTCTTATTTTACCTATTATTATTAAACTGTTGTTTTCATTTCTTATTTTATCCATTATTATTGTTTTTAATTTAGTTTAAAAATGTGCACTGCAAACAGAAACCATTGTCCAAAGTTTTGACCTTATTCTAAATTCAAAAATAATAAAAAGAAAAACAAAAGAAAAAAGCAGAAAGCTTTTCAAATTTTATATTACACTCAAACGAGCGTCCCTCCCCCGTTCACAGGCACATAAACGTTTCGAGAGCATTTGGCAGACTGTGCTAAAAATATTTAGAAGAGCAGCATATCTTTAGAAATTTTAATTGGCTGAACGTTTTCTTCTAATTTATTTGTGTGATAATATATAGAAAATAATCAAATTATAGAACACTTTACTTATTACACAGATGAAGTCGATTTTATTATATGGTGGATGGTGTATATAAAGAGAATTAAGTAATTTAATTAAAGTATTAAGTAATTCCAAATTATTAAGTAATTCCAAACCAATTCTACAAATACTAATTCGCATACAATATAGAATCTGCAAGTCTGTCAAACTAGTCGATGATACTCATCCTGAAGTAATTAAAAAACAAGTAATATAAAATAAAATTAAAGTCAATTCCTACTTAGGTCAACAAAGAAAAATTTTAAAAATACAAAATAAATAAATAAATAAATAAATCTGAAATGTTTCAGATTTTAAATTACGTCCAAAGGGGCGTTTTTTTAACGTTTTGAGTGTTACCTTTATTTATTAAATATCATGTTCTTTGCACTTAAACCATAAAATTCAGTTCAAGAGCAATATCGCAAAATAATATTAAATTAAGCATATCTTTAGAATTTCCGATATACGCAGTCTCGCGAGCTGGAGATAAAAGTATTTTTTTTTTCTATATAAACGTTTGCCATTTCTCGCTTTTAAAGCATTGAGTTTGTAAATCAAAAATTCGTTAAAGTTTTACAAAATATAAAATCTATATAAAAACAAATTCCAAATTTGGGATTTCAGATGCCCATATTCGCAGTAGGATTTCGTCATTCAAAATTCGATGGCTCTATGTACCATTGTTTTATCACAATGCAATGCGAGAAATATACATACATTTATGCAGATTTTTCATTATTATTTAATTTCTTCAAATATAATGCAGGACTCTAACATTTTGTGGCAACAGTTTGAAAAGTGAACCGACGTTTATGAGTCCGACGCAAAATCGCAAAACGAAAACAATAGTCCTTCAGGGACAAAGCCCCTTTGGACTAAAAAATAAAAATACAAACATAATTTTTAATTAAAAATTTTAAAAAAATGTAATATGTGAAAAAGTTGTATTAACATTAAGTGTCATCCATTACAAGTTTAAAAAATGCATTTCAATTTGAGTGGATAAATAAAAAGTATTTTATTAACGACTGAAAATTTGAACAAGATATACGAAAAGTGTGAGCTAATAATAGGAGTTTAATAATTCCGGATATTCATTTCGCAAACGAGGCAGTAAAGAAAAAAAAAATCTCTTTGAACAAGCAGGTTGCTCTAAATAAATCTTTCGGACCCACTCTCGCCATTTTTTGCGTTTTTGCCTCCGGTTAATGATTGTCATCGAAGTTTCAGCTATCCAAAAATCATTTAATTCTGATAACTTGCCGCAAACATATAGAAACACAGCGAAATAACAACATAAAAGTCCGTTGACTCCATATTACAGCGTCACGTGATTTTTGCGCAAAGTAATTCTATTGTTTAAACGCACTCTTCGCAGTTTCTCTCTTTTTCGCTGGCAACGTAAAAGCGCATTCATCAGCTACGTTTCGACTTTTATGTTTGCGGCAAGTTATCAGAATTAGATGATTAGTCGTGTGGACGGTCTTTATAGTTTACGCAAGGAGGTAGGAAGTTCTTTCTTACCTCCATGGATTTACGTTGCTAACGTAGTTTTTTTTCACGCATCTAACACGGGCACATCTATACGAGACCAAGATCATCTAAAAACCGTGAGAGGTCGTTTTAAAAATGTTTCGCTATACTTCAATGACTTAAAGTGTCATCATTGAGATATGTATGTAAAAAATTTTGATTTTGACGTGAATATTAATTTTGTCTACTCACCCCGAAACAGCTGATTAAAGGCTTCGGTAATCCGGAGGTACCGGATGTGTAACTGATGTATACAGGATGTGAGAACGAGACTTGCTCAAATATTAAAGGCGGAACAGTGCCATCGGGCTCTTTAGCCATTTCCAGGAACTCTTCTAAGAAACAGCTAAAAAAAAAGGAAAAGTAATAATATGAACTTCATTATTTTATTTAGATTAGGATTTTATTAATTTCGCAATTCAATTTATTTCATACACGTTTTCCCTAGTCTTTTGATTTTAATACTTTAGGAAACTTCACAGCGGCCTCTCCTACGATTACATAACATTCATATTACAAAATGTGTACACTGCACAAAAAAAAAAAAAAAAAAAAAAAAAAAAGGGAGGACAGTTTTATATCTCCAAAAAATAATCAAATACCTACATTAAATACCTCAAAATACCTATATTAGAACATTTCTATATATAAATCTAATACATATCCTAAGTCGCGCTTTCGAGACATTGAAAACGCAATTTGAATTTCGTCAATCGGCCCAGTAGAACGGGAGATATAGAGCTGTCTCATTTTTTTTCGTATTGATTGTCTATATATTTTATACAAAAAATACATGCATACATTTACATACAGAAGTACAATTTTTTAAATTCGAGGATACGCATTCGCGGATCCGTAGATATTCGAGAAAAAAGAATTTGGCACGTAGCCAAATCCATCTAATAGGAAAAACCCAAAAAAAGAAAGTGGAAAATGTAGGGAAAACGTAGGGGAAAATTAGTTTTTAATTAATATATCGGCTAATTAAAGTCCCAAAAAGACGCGAATGGTCAAACTGGCGTGCCACAGACCTGCGGAATCCAACGGTGTGCTTCGCTAAGCCCGGGAGTTAGCCTTTTCGGAGGAGATGATGTTATTTCACCCCATATATATATATATATGCGGCTTAAGTGTCTGTTTGTCGCCGATAGTTTATTGGTTGCTTGCGTAACTGTACTAGCCAATGGGGTGAAGTTGCCACGGCACAGGGTTGCCGTTTCAATTGAGACGTAGACAATTTCCTGTAAAACTTGCCTTTGCTATGACCATCAATAATTCTCAGAGCCAAACGCTTAACCGTGTTGGCATTTTTTTACCTGAGCCTGCATTTGGACACGGTCAACTTTATGTTGCCTGTTCAAGAGTTCGTGAAAGAACGGACGTAAAATTAAAAATAATGGATGGCCTCTGCAAGGCGAGCTTAAAAATGATGGAAAGATCTACACAAGAAATGTTATGTACAAAGAGATCTTTGACATGTGAATTAACATTTCATTGTTTAAATCACCTTTATTGATTGAGCTAGCGGTGGCTCTTAAGAAATGTACCGCCAGTGGTTTCCTTTATGGTACTCTACTTTAAGCAATTAAGCAAGTAGAAGGGGGAAACCGCGTGGGGCAGTAAGCAAAAGGGCGTCCTCACTGCCTGCCCTGGGTAATTCAGTTTAAATTAGCAGACACCTTTGCACAAATCATTTTAATTCCAATTTATAATATCTAGAACAGCGGTCATTTCGTATGACCGCCGGGCTTTCTAGTATTTTATAACGCTACGAAATCTATAATGTTTTAATTAGATTGAGAATACAAATGAAATGTTTTGCAAATATTTCAAATTTAAAATCATATCTGATACAGAATATCATTTGGAATTCATAAATACTAATACAACGTACCTCTTTTGAATTTTGCTTATATCGTTGAATTTAGAGTCCTCCTTCGAAGGCACTATAACGACTTTCTGAAGACAAGATATCCCTATAATGAGGAAAAAATATTTATTTTAAATTTTCAAACTAAGCTTTTTATTCTGTTTCTAAATCTTTCTTTTCATCGTATTTTACGTATGACAGGTTGAAACGTTATTAAAAACCTTTACCGATATTATCGATTTTCTAACTCACTAACGTTCTAACTCACACATTCTATGTAGCTTTTAGTATTATCATGACTGTTTAATTTCATCTACAATAACGGATTTCAACACTATTAGCACAAAGTAAAAGATATACATGCTCTTTAAGTCTAATTTCGTAGAACAATTTTCTTGATTTTTGAGCTTAAGTGTTTTCTTGCAGTGCTCTTTAACTGAAACTTGCCTCATTGTCAATTAATCACTGAACATAAATTAGATAACAGAAATAATGCAGTATTATTTAACCACCCACCGAAGTATTCACTGAACTCTTTTGCATGTAGTTCGCAGAAGAAATAAATTGAAGCAGAACTGAAAATTCCAGCACGAATTGCATTTTTCATGTATCAATTAAATTATGATTCTAAACAAAGTTCGAACGCATTGGGATCCCAGTAAAGGATTATGTTTTCAAAACAGACACTAAAATGTAATTCAAAGGAACCACTTTTTTTCACTAATTAGCCGATAGTGGCGGCAGAGATCTACTGGATTGCAAAACGTTCCATCATCAGAACTATTTTTAAAACTGGGCTGAAGTGACATATTTTCCTGAAACAATAAAGTCTGAAATTGCTTTTGAGCTACCTTGTCGATCCGTGTCGGCAGAAAGGCTATCGGTTCTATGCAATGCTAGCTCTGGGACATACACCCTCTTAATTCTACTACAGGATGAACGCAGGTACGTCAAAAAGCTAATTTAGCGCATCTTTGCCACTAACTACTCTATTCGTCTGTATTTATAGCTCGACATCCGCTATAAGTCTTAAATATCAACTTAATTTGCATACATACGAAAAACATTTTGAGTTGAGTTGGTCAGGAGAAGCAAAGGACAGCAGATTTGAATAGCAGTGGTTAATTGAATAATTGAATATAATGAAGCAAAGAATAGCAGAAATTAAAGCATAATATTTAAAAATTTATATTCAGCAAAGTTCAAATTCAATTTAAATTTTGAAATTTTTTTATATAAAACATCGGTTTCTATTTTCTAGATCGTTCTTGTGAGTTTCTTTACTCAGTTTCATTTTTTTATAAATTTCCAGCTGCAGAGAATAAGACAAACATTGTACAAACGGAACAGAACTCTGCGCAGATACAAAGTAAAATTCTATATCTCATTGATTTTCCCTCTAGCTATCCAATATCTCTCCACCTCAGAGGCTTCACGCAGCACCGGGCACCTCCTTTTATGGGTCCTAGTCATTTCTTCATTTAAGCCGAAAAAAAAAGCAGTTTGGGCTGCTAAGAATGTAAGTACAGTAGAGATCGTTCGCCTAGCAGTCGTGATCAGTGTCAAGTCTAAAACTGGCGTTAGCTATTCCCTGAGATTTGTCTGGTAATTTCCTTTCCAAGCTGTCCCTCCAGATCTTGGTTTAAATTAATAAATTACAGAAATTTAGAATAAGAAACTGCAAAAAAATTCCAGTTATGAATATATATAAAAGCAATTAATTCAGTAACAGTAAAATTCCTATTACATAGAACTCCTCGATATTTTATACCTCCTTCTCCTCTGTAAATGCAGCTAAATACTGAATTTTTCCCCTTTCTTACTTTACCAATCAAAATCTTTCGTATTTTATACAACACGCCCAGTCTCTTTCCCAATAAATTCTATTAAATGTACATTAGAATCTCATTTCTGGGATCCAGGTGGAGACCATAACAGCCGCCTGATCATATCGGCTAAATGAAGATCATAGTGGTTGCCCAATGTGATAAATATCAAAATTAAACGAAATAATAACTATAAAAAAGGTATTAAAAATCACGAAAGTTTCAAAATGTTTCTCGAATTTCCACAAACCTGTCTTCTGTATCGCGTTTCAACATTAGCTGTTATTGCATGCTTACACGGCTGTAAATTTGTATATAATACACAACTTACAGAAAATTCCAGTTGTGTAAGATAAATTTATTTTGAATATATTTGTCTTGTTCATCACTTACTAAATTTCTTGCAAATGTTTAAAAGAAATTGACAATTTTCTTTAAGCTAAATTAGATTGTTTTTGTTAATTCTCGCTCACATGCACATACAAAATAAAAGCGTAAAGACTGGAGTGGGGGATTGAAGTAAAATGCGAGTGACAGCAACGTCCTGTCTGTGGAACGTGTTGCCATCTTGCTATTTTGCTTTAGGTCTCTCTCTCTTTTTTATCTATTCTTTAACTCGTGGTAAGGAATAAATATAAAAAACTAATGCATAGCATTCACGTATCCTTGTATTGTAGCGGTCAACCCATGAAACAAGCCAATGGAATATCAAAGGTTTGATTTCTGATGAACGTAAGTTTGGCCGCTTAAGATTCCTGCCCATATAGAAGCTTAATATCTCTAACAGCTTTTACGAGCTCGTAATATGCAATAAATTCTGAGCTCTGTTCTATACAGTGTGTATGAGGACAGCGTTGACAAACTTTTAGGACAGTTAGAGTACACCTAGCCGATGAGAAATCACGTAGGAATGCATGGTCAGAAACACTTTCCTGGCGCGGTAGTGGCGACACAAAAGTCAAGAAAGAAAGGACACAAACAGTGAGATAAACCATGTTTTATTATGTTTAGTACACCAGAAACCTACAAATAAGAACAAAAACAAACAACGAACGTCATTAAGGAAGGTACTCCAAATAATGAAGCCGGACAGCGATGCAGGCCTCAGTTCTCTGGCACATGGAAGATCTATCACGAATGGAACATCGCATGGAAGATGCATGACGCACGGTTCCTGCATCACGGTCCGGGTCATAATTTCGAACACCTTCTTTCATGATGATCCTTGTCTCTTTATGTTGCTTTTTCTCTCTTTTTGTTGTATTCCAAATATTAAACATTTTTTCACCCCATTCGTGTCCTTTCTTTCTTGACTTTTGTGCCGTCTCTACTGGCCCAGGAAAACGTTTTCGATCTTGCATTCCTATGTGATTTTGCGTCGCCTATGTGATTTTGCGTCGCCTATGTGTACTCTGTCTTTCCTGAAAGTTTGTCAACGCTATATCTGTATATGTAATATCTGTACACTCTGTATATGTAATAGTACAGTTTAAACATGTCTCACATTAATTAGTTACGATATTCGTCGCTGCCTTATCGTCTTCATCAACTTCATCTTCTCTATTATTACTTGCCTCTGCTATATCCTACTTTGAAGCAATTCCTTACGAAAAAAGGAAGTATGTCTCAGACTCAGTTATTTCAGGTTCTTCATGTAACTTCATGAGGAAATTTTCCGATAATTCCAGACTTTACAAGAATGAAAATTTGAGTATCAGCTGCAGAAATGAAAATCCTTTACTTCAGGTTATCTGCTGTCGAATTGTGTAACGTTTTCTCTCCTCTTGTTCTATAAACCAAAGACTAGCTTCTCAAATTCCAAACAGTCATTCAGAAATCTTTGCTTGTAAACATGCACCTAATTTTTTTACCCGAGAATACTGAACTTTGGAACAAGCTATAGAGTTCGTTTGTTAGTCAAATTACAACCGTCACTTCTTTACTAGGTTTTGATATCTTCAAGTTTCTGGCCCAAATTTTCAGTAGAGATAAATGAATATAATTTTTGTTGTAAATCAAATACCTGACAGAAGAATAAAAACACCAATGCTCCATTATTCTGTTTTAATATTATCATGACTGTTTAATTTCATCTACAATAATGGATTTCAACCCGTAGATTTCAACACTATTAGCACAAACTAGAAGATATACATTCTTTGAAGCCTAACTTATTGGAGCAATTTTCCTGATTTTGGCGCTTAAGTGTTTTCTTACAGCACTCTTTAACTGAAACATGCCTCATCCATAACATAAAGTTGAAACTGGCGAATGCCTTCCTCATTTAAAAATCTGTGATTTTCCCCTCATTCCTGAAGGCTCAATAACTTAAGAATAAATCGCTGTGATTTTATTCAAAAATCCTAATTCGAATAGCTTGCTAAATGTAAAAATCCCATCCAAACGAGCTTTAAACGAAACAGTCCCTAACCATATTGCTAGTCTTTTCATATCAGCTTACTTTCAGTTCTTTTAGTAGACAATCCACTTAACTGCTTAGTTAAGTGGATTGGCTTAGTTAAGCATTTGTAACAGCATTGTCTGAAGTTTCTTCCTCAGGGAATCTCATTGCTTTCACTACACCATTTTTCTTTTATACATTAAACCCGAATATAGAATTCAATTTCCAGGTTTCTCGATCATCACACAGAGAAAAAACGCTTAATGTTTTCTCAAATCTTATAAGGTATTTCGCCCACCTTCTTGGCATGCTTTCGTGTTGCGGTGATCTGCAATTTTTTCCTTTCTTCACTTTAATATATATATATATGTGTGTGTATATATATATAAACTATACAAATCTAGTCTAATATTTTATGTCTACCTTTCAAAAAATTTAACAAAGTTGAATAATTTATTTGAATGTTTCAATTGCTCATATAAATTAACACTATGGATACTTTTCCACTTCAGTATTTAACGTATATAGAAAACAGAAAAATACTTGCCATCTGCAATCTTCTTCACCTTTGTCAGCATTTCAATTTCCATGTTATCATACTTGAACCTGTCTATCGTGAAAAGGATCTTAGGTTTTACTTGTTTGAGTCGGTTGATGACTGCCTAAATTAATTGAAATAGGTCCGTCATACATTTTAACATACAACTTCATACATAATATTCAAGCATTTGTTTTTTTTTAAATCATAAATTGTTTTAGGACCTTATGAAATTGTCACATGTTTACTAGATAACACATAGGAAAAAAATTCTTTACATGGATGTTGGATAATCAAATCTTCTTTTTCACTTTTATTACTTTTTATATTATATTCATATATTACAAGTATATCATATTTGTCAAGTATGGCTGAAATTCCAGTACCTTCCATTGTTCCCATGACAAGTGACCCTTGACAGTACTTGCACTGTGACAGCGCGCATTGTTATGAAGGATGATGGGATTCGTGATCTGAATTATCTGCATCCAGCACTCAGAAGAAATTGACGACATTTGTTGGTGACTACTAGCAACTTTCTCAATTATAGTGCTCGGTATAATAATCCGAAAACGCAGAATTCGTACGACGATTCGTACGGATATAATAATCCGAAAACGCAGAATTCGTACGACAATGCCAGTTGGAACGTATGTATTCGTCAAAATGAAGATACCGCTGTTGCAGTGGAGTAGTGAGCATAACTGGGCAAAATACGTTTTGGCGCCCAACCCCGAAAAAAAACACAGTGATATGATGAAAATCTTCTTTGGAAACTATTTGGCGCCCCTCTGCGAGCGACGCCGGGGCATCATACAACCCCTTGCCCCCCCCTCGCTATGCCACTGCGCTGCTATGGCTCCGTTACTGCAGTACAGAAAAGGTTATCCGTGCTTTAGAGTGGTCATTGTGCAATATCGACAGAAGTGGACGTGCTGTTAGTGTATGACGCCTTCGAATAATTTAGCATTATGTGGTATATAGTGATAATTTACCAGGCTGTCTGACTCCAAATAAAGACACTTGGGTAAACAATTAAAGCATTCTTTATTCTTTTTATTCAGGATGAGCAGCTCTCCTTATACAAATCGCCCACTTGGCAATAGAGAATAAATGCAACAGGATGAAAGCGTAGTTACGAGTACTTGGGCATCATGCAGGTTCCCCCGCAGAAGCAAACACAGAAGAAGCTCGGTACAAAATCATGACGTGTTTTAAATTCTATCATGCGCGGTGCGCATGCTTGCGCTGTGCCGCGACCGCATTGTATTAGCAAAATTTCTGCGATATGGTAGACGTAGTGTAAAGTATAACGCGTATGGTCAGGGTTTTTTTCTGATTTATCGGCATGTTGCTACTAGTTTTTATCCAACCCATGACTTAAGTTTCAAAGAAGAAGCTTAAAAATCTTCCTTTAGTCATTCCTTAAAAATATATTTAAAAACCTGTGATATAAGAATGCTCATAAAGTTTACGTGTTACCTCGGCTCCTAATTGCGGTAACGCTCCTGTAAAAATAGCTCCAATGCTCACAGCACCAAGCATGGCGAAAACGGCTTCTCTTCTGTTGGACAAATAACCTGAAATGAAAACAGTTTCATTCCTTTTTATAAATGTCTACGTGATTACTAAATGCAATTCTCTACAATATCTGTGCAAATATTTAAAGGTCTTTATCACAGTCAGTTTTGTATTCTGTCACTTGAAAGTCATAAGTATTTGAAATTGAATAGTTTTATTATAATTGAAATTAATAGTAAAATTTAAAAAAAGATAATAAAGGTATTTTCTCTACAAGTTAATTTAAAATTATTTACAAATTATATTTTATATACTGGTTGTGAAGTTGATCGCAAAATTCTCGTACTAAGTCAGATACATTGTGAAACTTGAATTACAAAACTATTTCGAGTTGAAAATTTGCGATTCATAATATTTAAACTCTGATAAAATTTTTTAAGAGCCTGTAAAACATTTCAAATCCTATACACGTTTCTTTGCAGTACTTTTTTTAAGTTTTAATCTTAATTGCGTATGCAAATGTTTTAAAGCATGTAAATGCGGAAATAAATATTTTTTATTTCATGAGAGGAATTTAAATGAAACAACTTTTAAGCAACATCTTTCTAAAGCTAAAAAGTGCTGAATATCTTATCTTTTTATCTTAATTATCTTCCTGTAATTTACTAAATTCTGATTTTATTAAAGAGAAAATATCCATCTCAGTACTGTCACATTACTGATTAAATACAATGTTATAATTCAAGTTTTAAATTTTCATTAGAATGTTTTTCCACTGTTCTGAGCATACATACTGAGCTATAGAAAAAGTGGTACAGGTGAGCCTACACAGAATAAAAAGTTGCGCTACTTGTGCACGTCACTAATTGCTTCTAGGAAATATACACAAGTCTATAAATACCCATGCACCTTCTATAAAGCTGTTCTGATAATAGCAAGTGCTTATGATTTATGCACGTTTAATATAGTCTAATTTTTGGAAACTTATTAAATGTACCACATCATTTCCGAGGTTTGTATTTTCATATATGATCATTTCAAGAATGTACTTCGACTGCAAGAATTCTGGTAAAACTTCAAACGTACGAAAAAAGTTCTACCTTAAGTAGGATGAACATGACTAGCACCAAATAGCAAGAATCACTTCATGCAACGCAACAGGGTAAAACACTGCCTCAAGTAAATCATAATCTAATTTTGCCACTCACCAGACATCAATGCAGACTGTGGAATATCTGTATTGGCCAATATCAACGCGTGGCCAATTTTACAAAATAGAGAAGTGATCCGGGTGGGATAATTCACAAGTGCACATCAGTATCGCCACTGAGGAAGGGGTTTCAAAAATTTACCTATGAGCTTCTATTGCTTTTGTGACGATCAATTTTTGAAACTGTGCATATGAGCCGATGTTGTTGTTTACATTTTAGTTAGCATTTGTTTTTCTGTTATAAATGCATAGCACATAAATGCTGTTATAATTTTAATAGAAAATGCAGTAGTTAGTGCTAGTAGAAATACTAGTAGAAAATCATAGTGCTTTAATTTTATAACTTTATTTAATCTTCAACATTTTACTTTCGCGAAACTTATCATGCACTGATATTCGGATTAATGTTCGGGGCATATTATCGTCATTTATATTGAAAGAAAAGGACTTAACCGACAATTAGCCTCGAATATTATGCATTTACTCACACCTGTGGATTAAGAGAATAAGTGTATAATTTTGTATTGAGCTGAGAATAAGTATTTCCTTATCTCAGTGCTTGAATTCCTTGAAGGTTTTGAAAGTGCAAGATTTAAAATATATATCGTTAGTGATCTGATTATATCTATTGTTAACATTAAAATGTATATAAGAATAAACTAAATTCATTCTATTTAAAGTTTATTTCTTGTGCAGGCAATACATTTAAGATTTAAGAGCGATTAATGTGAAATTTAACACACTAAATGTATAAGAATACAAATTAGGAAAGTTCACTTTGAATAAAACTGTGCATTGTCTATTATTGTAGACAATTTTGTTTTTCATATGGACTATAGTGAAAATGCTAAAATTTCTACTATTTGCGTACATAATTATGCTCTTATATTTGATCTAACTTCGCACTGAAAATTCTCACAAGAAATCCACGGAGCTTTAATTATTTTGGACAAGAAATTGCGTGATAAAACATTTTCAACCATCTTGCTTAAAGCGCGGCAAAGATCATGTTGAAATGGCAGAAATATTACTGGAAGCCCATTGGTCCATTTTCGGAGCCAATCCCTCGGTGTCGATACAGATCTGCACTTGCGAAATATGCATCCAGCTGTGAAGTAACGAGAGTAGCCAAATGTAATGCGAGTCTTCTGGGAGCATTTGTTGTATGTATAAAATGTTTATTTTAAGTTTCGATGCGACATTCTTCTAACATTATTATTAGTTTCGTAGAACATAAAATGTAGAAGTCTAGGTCTCCAAAACATGCATTTCTGAAGCGCTTTTCGATAATAGCATTTATAATTCAACAATAAAAAAGGGCATTTATAATGCGGTAACTTTACGAATGTTATTACGCATGACTTTTTCTATATCCATGATTCAGAACTCTTAACCCACCATACTGAAATGAAGCACTACTGCGTTCAAAAGCAAGAGATAATTTGGTGAAAATTTTTCAAATTTAAAAATGTCATTAAAGTTTTTTTAATGCGTTTGTGTGTCTGTATATATATAACGAATTATGCTAGCAAGCCTGCATTTGGATACCCACAAGCAACGATGTCTCCTTTTTTCAATCCGAATTTTTGGAAAGCAGCACCATACAAGGTGGCTTCTTCATACATTTCAGCGTAAGTGGTTCTTTTGGTTTCGCTGTCCTCACCTAAAATCGAAAAAAAAAAAAAAAAAATACAACATAATTTTTAACTTTACAGCTGCTTAAGTTTTGACTAAATGGCCTTTTATATGAAGTGAATTTAAAGCACAAACACGATAAACAATATTTACATAAAATGCAGTATCATGTACATTGCAAATATTGATTGCAACTGGATATATTCAATATTCAATAAATAATTAATAATATAGAAGCATTACGTCACTATTTTTAGTAAAAAGATTTACTTAAATAAAATAAAGTATGAGGAATGACGAAGCAATAAGTTAACTTAATATTTAATGAAACTTAATATTTTTATACAATCGTAATAAAAATCATTGATTTACAATAAGATACTCTTCTCTTATCGGGACCGGAATCAGAAATGTATGTACGCATGCATGCATGTATGAATGTGTTCATGTATGCATGTATATGTATAACTAGAACGCCCGACGGTCATACGAAATGACCTCGGTTCTAGATATTATCAATTGTAATGAAAATGATTTGTGCAAAGGTGTCTGCTAATTTAAACTGAATTACCCAGGGCAGGCGGCGAGGACGCCCCTTTGCTTATTGTCCCACGCGGTTTCCCCCTTCTACTTGCTTAATTGCTTAAAGTAGAGTGCAATGAAGGAAACCAGTGACGTTGCATTTCCTTAAGAGCCACCGCTAGCTCGATCAATAAAGGTGATTTCAATAATGAAATGTTAATTCACATGTCAAAGATCTCTTTGTACACAACATTTCTTGTGTAGATCTTTCCATCATTTTTAAGCTCGCATTGCAGAGGACCATCCATTATTTTCAATTTTATGTCCGTTCTTTCACGAACTCTTGAACAGGCAACATAATGTTGACCGTGTTGAAATGCAGGCTCAGGTAAAAAAATGCCAACACGGTTAAGCGTTTGGCCCTGAGACTTATGGATGGTCATAGCGAAGGCAAGTTTTACAGGAAATTGTCTACGTCTCAATTGAAACGGCAACCCTGTGCCGTGGCAACTTCACCCCCATTGGCTAGTGCAGTTACGCAAGCAACCAATAAACTATCGGCGACAAACAGACACTTAAGCCGCATATATATATGAAGTGAAGTAACATCATCTTCTCCGAAACGTCTGGCTCCCGGGCTTAGTGAAGCACACCGTTGGATTCCGCAAATCCGTGGCACGCCATTTTGACCATTGGCGTCTTCTTGGGACTTTAATTAGCCGAGATATTAATTAAAAACTAATTTTCCCCTACGTTTTCCCTACATTCTCCACTTTCTTTCTTGGGTTTCCTCTATTAGAGGGACTTAGCTACGTGCCAAATTCTTTTTTCTCGAATATCTACGGAACGGCACGGAATTGAAATTCGAGACGCGTAACCTTGGATTCCAAAAAATTCTCCGAATCCATCGATACCGTTCTCATTTTCGTACGACTTTAATCCGCCGAGATATTAATTAAAAACTGCGGAAACGTTAATTTCCTCGCTCATTTTTTTTCAGAGTGGCAACAATAAACTATAGACGACACACACTTTAGCTGCTTATATATATAAAGATATGCATGTGTGTGTATATGTAATATGTGCGTATATAGTATATATGCGCGTATATATACACACACATACACAGACATACACATGCAAACATATATCTTTGATTCCGAATCAAATAACAAAAAAGTACCGACAATAATAAAAGTTTAAAACTTTAAATTCATCTGAAAACAAAACAAGTGCATTTAAAAGTTCTCAACTTGATAATAGATGCATCACACGATTATTCCATCAAATAAATTCAATAAAACAAAATTTTTATAAAATACAAGAAGAAACGTTGGTTTTTACATAAAGTGATCATAACAGAAGTTTATATTTTAAATTCATCTAAAAGCAAAATAAGTGGATTAAAAAATTCTAAACTTGTTTAACATAATAAAATATTTGGTCAATAAGGAAGAACTAGAATTTAAGATTTTTCTATTAAAATTATATTATGAGATTACAACAACTAGAAAATATTACATTTATTTAAGCATGCTACGTAATGATCATTTAGTTACTTAATTTAGCCACTATATGCGAATCGCTTCGGAAAATAATACAAAGTATTTCAAACACAGTGCATGGCTAAATAATTGCATCTTATTTGATCGGTAAGTTCACAGTGCCAATCCCTTGTAGTATTCATTAATTGTGGCTATGTATCAAATCATAACATCTTTGCTTTTACTTTTATTTTAGATTCCACATGCTATTTAGGATTGTTTGGAATATATTACTTGAAATAGATCACAGAAAAAGCTGTGTTGCGTTTAAAAACCTTTCTGACATATATTAATGCGAGACGCCTTTTCATCCTAAGGTATTTCGGCTTACGAAATAAATATGTAAAGAGGAAACTTCTCGTAAAGCAGAGGAAAATGTGCATTCAAAAAGTGCCTGCATTGTTATTCCTATTAAATCAGCTATGTCCAGTAGTTTCATAATAGTTACGCATTTCGGTTACAGTTATTTACTTTATGTATCTTTAAACAAAAATAGTGTAGTGAATGCTTGGATTTGTAACATCTTGCGAACTATAAAGTCGGTTCATTTTCACTTCCCTGGGTATAAACACTCAAAATAGCATGAGGAGCAATACATAAGACAAATATTGTTAATAAAAGCTCCTTAAGTGAATTCAAAGCTAGAGTTTAGTACAAGGATTTATAACCTTTGTTATTTTTTAGCCTTAATTCATCATTGAAACTTGCTGCAGCCTCTCACGCTAGAAATCGTCGTTAACAACTCGCTATTATGTTGAATCTGATGTATCCTAGGATTCACATGCGATTGTTGCTCTAGTGTATGTTTCAATAAATGTTAAACATCTACTGCAGCACGTTTTACGAACAAAAAGCTTATTCATTGACAGCTTTCTGTAGAAACGCCATTTCCCTCATAAGACCAGAATTTGCGGGATATTCAGTTTTCGGAAACACTTATAATGACAATAGCGCTAACTTACTGAAACTCTAGAAACTCCATAAGCCAACGTATGTATGGTAATTTGTTTAGCTTGCTATGAGGGAAAAATAGAAAGCATGATACTTTTCTCTTTCACCATATTCCAGAAAACAGCAGACAGATTTCCGAACATTTGCCAGCTTACAAGTAAACCTTCTGCCCCTTGATACCGATTTTCCGAAAACCTATATATTTTCTGAAAGCTTATATCACAAGTAGAAAAACTGTGAAGTCTTAGGGGGGGGAGGAAAATTTTGATAAAATACAAGAAAGAAGAAACGTCAGTTTTTACATAAAGTGATCATAACAGAAGTTTATATTTTAAATTCATCTAAAAACAAAATAAGTGGATTAAAAAATTCTAAACTTGTTTAACATAAATATTTGGTCAATAAAAGGTAATAAATAATAAACTGGTAATAAATAATAATTGGTAATAAATAATCTCTTAGGAGCTATAAAATCCATAAAGTACGTATTAGTAATAAAGTATTTTCTTATCTCTGTGCTTGAATTCCTCTGATTTTGAGAGTGTAAGATTTAAAATGTATATCATGACTAATCTAATTACAACTATTGTTAACATTAAAATTTATGTAAGAATAAACTAAATATATTCGTGGCGAATAAGATAAATTCATTCTATGTAAGGTGTATTTCTTGTGCGGGGAATACATTTAAGAGTGAAAAGTTGTTAATGTGAAAGCGTATAGATGGGCATATTTCCGTAATGGCGTCTCTGTATCTTGTATGTTCATGCACTGTCCGCTTCTGAAGTACCTGATCGTAAAGTTCTACAAAAAGAACTGGTACCTGAAGGATTTACAAGAAAGATCCAGCCCTAGGTAATCAATTTTCAGACACTACAAATCTTTTGTTCGTTACATAACGGACACAATCATTATCGAAACACAAGAGCACGTTTAAGAACTTGATTCAATATTCTTTTTATAAGGGCAGATACTTGGACGACGAACCTGGAATGTGGATTGCACCAATGGATTACTGCTTCGATTCATTGACAAAGTGAGCGTGCAAAGTGTGAGGCTATCGCTTATGTAAAATGTGCCCATTGTGAACTGTCTTTCTGCCTATTTATTTCATGAATTTCACATTGACTGTCTCTTGCAATAGATTTTGTTTGAAGTCAATAACAAGTCACATTTTCAACATCCCAACGTATAATGTTCCTTTTTAATGAGTTGTTTCTGCCTTCATATTTGAAATCCCCATCTTCTTACCATATTATTAATTCATATCAACACGAGAAACGAGCATTCTAACGACTTTTGGTGTCCTGTTTCTAACACTTTTCTGATACTTTGTGGGTCCTCTAGCTCCTGAACGCTTGTTCCTCTGCTCCTAAGATTTCACAGTTTTTCTACTTGTGACATAAGCTTTCAGAAAATACATGGTTTTCCGAGAAACCGGTATCAAAGGAGGGAAGGTTTACTTGTTAGATGCTAGTTCTCAAATTATTCATGCTATCATTACTAACTGCTTTATGAAAACCTCTTTTCACCTGGTAGTGGCTCTTCTGAGATTTTTGTAGCTATATTTTGTTCAATAATTATACTGTTCTTTGTAAGCTAATTTAGCCTATAATTGTTTTCGTTTTAGTGTATTTAGAGCGATATAAAGAGCGAACTTTTACGACTAGCCTCTCTTTTAGGATAAATGCATAAATTTCAGAATACGGGAGAGCTAGTTCTTCTTTTGTTGAATAAAAGTATGATGTCTTGAGTAAAACTGTGTAAGTCTCACAGTAAAAGTAAGAAATAAATTTTCTTAAATTTCGACATCAAAATAAATGTGCTTTTATTAACGAAAGAGGGCTTAAAACAAAAATACTATTGCGAGATTAAATACGAATATCAAATTACTAGTATGACAGTTTTAAGCAATTAATTAGAATAAAATTTATACCTGCCGAGATCAAAGCCACGTGATCATCTCTAAATTTTAATAAGTTCTCAGCTAAATTGAGTCTTGCGCCTTCGAACCAAAGAGGAGAATCTTCCATGGGAATATTCAGGTCAATCACCTGAAATATTAAACAGACTAATAATTCTGAAGTTTGTCATATATATATATATATATGTTAATAAATATTTTGTGATGTTTATTATATGTAATTCAAATACTTATTATAATAAACTGTTTTGAAGCATAAAATTCTAAGCAATCTACAAAACCGTTGCGAAAAAACTTTTTTTTTTTTGATTGAAAATACAATACACGCTCTGTTAAATGTCATTAAGTGTTACTTGATATTAAATGAAAAGAATTAATTGGCTACTTTATTTAAAATCTATTTCATAATTATTGAAATATCTAAAAAACAACAAAGACAAGCATATTATAAATATGCTTTTAAAATCCAGCTTGTTTCCTTACTTGTTCAAAATTCTTTGAATAAATTATCCCTGCAATGTTCCATAATTCGGCATAAAATTCTGGTAGATGTTCAACTGACCACTTGTGCAAATCCCAGAAGTCTCCTATTGAAATTAAAGTAAATATTCTTCAAAATATTTTCCTATGCACAACAGAAAAAGCAGCCTTAATATGTAGCATGTTTATGTAATATGTAGCAAAATGCCATAAGTTTTATAGAAATGAGAAAGATGGGAATACTGTTTTTCATATTTTTTCAAAGGACAATTCATGTTTTGCGAAGAAAGAATGATACATGTGCCGAAGACTGAATTCTATTAACGTAAAGAACTCACGAATATGCAGCGAACAATTTCTATGAAGTGATTGTGTAGATGAGATGAAACATCATATGCTTGGATTACCGCAAAAGAAGCTGTTAAAATCCAATACTGCGCAAAGAAAAGAAAAGTAATGCAGAATGCTTTTGAAAGATTGCGTGCATTAGGTTTGAAGAAAATTCATTTTGAGGCCGATTACGAAAATGATGATAGGAAGAATAAATAAGATAAGAATGATTTTAAAATAGAACTCACAAATGACAATACAAATATTGCAGAATGCCCTAAATGTAAAACCAAACAAGAATGCATTGATAATTTGTAAAAAACAGAGCTAGCTCCGCATTTTAGGCAATATCTAATGGCATAAATGCGTGTATGTGCATAAATGTGTGTTTGTTTCTCGCATTGTGATAAAACAAAGATACCTTGAGCCATCCAATTTTGAATACCGTACGTTTGCACCCGAATATGGGCATCTGTAAACCCAAATTTGGAATTCGTTTTATTATCTATTTCATATTTTGCAAAACATTAACGAATTTTTGATTAACAAACTCAACGATTTAAAATCGAGCAATGGCAACACTGTACAGAAAAAAAAAAAAAAAAAAAAAAAACGTTTTTATCTCGAGTGAGCGAAACTGTGCATAGTAAATTCTAAAGATATTCTCATTTTTAAATTATTTTGCGACATTGCTATTGAACTGAATTTTATGGTTTATGTGTGAAGAACACGACATTCAATAAATAAAGGTAACAGACAAATTGTTAAAAAAACGCCCCTTTGGGCGTAATGTAAAATCTGAAAGCTTTCAATTTTTTGGGGGGCCTAACTTTAAAAAGCTATTATTATAGTAATCTTAAAAAGAGTAATCGAATTCTCCCATCTAGTATACAGGTGAAGAAGAAATAATGAATGCCATTGTTTTTTTTTCCTTCACGATTTAATATAAATAAATGTACAAGGGCAGAAAAACCTGTAACTTTTAAGAAATCATAGCGTACTTTATCTATTATTTTAAAAGTACTATTAATTTTTTAAACGTTATAAATGCCTACAGTAATAATATCTTCTTTTCTAAATTAAAGTTATTTTTTTACGCACAGTTTTTTTTTTTTTTTCTTTCTTTTAGGCTGTTCTTTCAAATTTAGTGCGTTTTTTTCTAGCTGCGAATTGCGTCTTTGAAGTCAGTGTCAGTCTATTATTATTGATATTAGTCTATTAGTATTCAGTCTACTAGTATTGATAGTAATACCGAAGATTGTTTACAATGCATGATAGCTTCCCGGCTTAATAGCTTTCGCACTTTTATTGTTTTAATTCTTTCTTCTCACTGAAAAACGATGAATTAAACAGCTTTATGTGTTTACTATAGTTATAGCACATGCTGAATGGTAGATTTTGAGAAATGAATGCTTCTCAGTTCTAATTAGAGCATAAAATTCTCTTATTTACAGATGAAAATGCAGCGGTAAAGCTTTTTGAAGAAAATACCACGAGAGAAAAACAGCGTTCTTCAAAACAACTCAATGAAACTTCCGCAGTTTTAAAACTGTATCATGGGGATCGCAGCAAAATTTTTCTGTTTCCTAGCATCTTAATTCAAACAATCTCGACGAAAACATAATTGCAGTGCATTTAACTTATTTCCAAAATACTAAACTTACTTAATTTAACATTATATTTAGATTCTATCAATTTTTTAAACGCTTTCATTTCAGCTGCGGAATCTTCGGTTGGTTGCCACACCATCTCAACATCGCTGAAATTCTTCTGATCCATTTTTAAACCTGTAAGATACTTAGAATTAATAACCACAATGATGTTACTATTTTCAAATACTGATATTAATTTTATCACTTACTTGAATATAATACATTTTATCAAAATTAACTCCAGAATCTCGAGATAAGGCTTAATCTCCTCATGTACAAGACAAATATTTATAAATCAAAACATAAAAGTTATGTCACAGAAAGAATAATATATATTTTTTTTTAATTGCTTACATTAACAAAATTTACTATAGTGCAGATTAGATGTTCTTTCGCTTTATCTCAGTTTCGAAGCTTTTTCAAAAGTGGCCATCTCAGTTAGTCGACAAAACTGACAAATTTAATGTCTTTAAATTTCAAAAGTCACTAAAAGATTACGCGTTAGACACTTTAACAAGGAAGACCCGTACCTTTTCCAAGGCATGATTTCTGTGCGTCTACAGACTTTAAGAAATAATCATTTTAAGATTTCATCAAATGATTATTTCCAGTATTTATTACTACGACATATAAAGTTAGTTTTACCCAGTTATTTTGGGGGGGGGATTACCTTTAATAGGTCATTCACCTACTCCACTCACGTGCCCAAAGTGTTTGGAAAAGCATACAGAATAATGTTCAAACTTTTCCCACTGCTTAGAAATGATCAACGTTTTATCAATTTGAAACGAAGAATCTACATCAGAGCTATTAGGTCTACTATTACGTATGCGTCTCCCGCCTGGACTACTGTCAGCAAGAAACACTACAAAAACTTCAGGTGTTGCAAAATAAGGCTCTTAGAATTATCATTAGTACCCCGTATTTTATAAGGAACAGAAGCCTGCACTCTGATCCAAAAATAGGATCAATCAAAGATTTCACCGCACAGATTAATGAAAGATTTTATGAGCGAACCTTAAGAAATAACACAGCAAATTTCGCAGAAATCCTGGAGTACGACATTCTAGAGGAAGATAGATTTTATAGGCTGCTCATTTGCTGCAAATTACACTCAACAATCAGACTGACCAATGAGAAAGCAGAGTTCCCTAGTTTTATTATTCAGTTTGATATTTTGTCTTTGCAGTGGAAAGCGACCAGTCTTCAGGCCTGCCCAGTTTTCAATTTAGAAAAAAAGCGCTTCAATCTGTTCGCTCCTCGTCAGGTACTTACCTGTCATGAAGAATTTTTTTACGGCCCTAATGGGACTCATAGTAATTGGCAAGAATAGGGAACACTATCGCCTGATGCAGACCAAATATCAAAATAACTTAATTTTCCTAAACAATCTCAGCTCACTGAGAGAATTTTCTCTGATGCTGATCATTTGATTCGACACAGTGTTCATATGTTGTCATGGATTCCGAAACTGAGCAAAGAACAAAAATAAAGTTTTACTGTAAAGCAGAAAAAGCATCAATGGAAACATTTGAAATATTTTGCGAAGCAAATGTAAATCAACGATTTATAGGATTCAATGTTTTTCATTGGTTATGGATCCAAAGAGGTTGATGATGAATCTCGAACAGATGAGAATATTGAAGAAGCTGGGAAACAGATGCTGAAAATGGTCACCTATCTCTTCGAATGATGTCTTATGAGCTTAATAACACTTCCCAGAAAACTACCATATAAGACATTGGAAAACGAAGAACTTGCTATCGTTTCTGTCCCTCACGCACTTGACTGCAAAGCAGAAAATAGATCGAACTTCGTCATGTCATGTTTGGTCCAAAAGCGCAAGCACTAATCTTGATTCTTTCGAACAAATTTTGACTAGAGATGAAATTTATTGCTTTGCATATTAAAGACGACTTCCACGGAATGGCAGTCATCTGGTTGGGTTGAAGAAATCTGACCATGATCATAAAAAAAATTCAGCTTCAGAAATCTAAAATATAAACAATACTGAGGGCTAATTTTGATTGTGAAACGATAATTTATAAGGAATTTGCTCCTGAGCGACATACGCTGACTCCAATTTTATAAAAAGGAAATGGATAGACTTCTGAAGACGATTCAGTATCCTAGGGTGAAGAAGTTTACGCTAGTGACTGCTTTCTGCTCTACAAACAATGCACCATAACAGAATTCCATTTTCTTCAAGCAATTTCTAGTCTGGAAATTATTAGTTGCATTCCTAAAGATGCAGTGCAGGTCTGTACTGATGGTAGTCGTACAGAAGATCGTACTGGCAGCGGCATCTTTATTAAGACTCCTCACTTTGAAACTACAATAAAGCAATGCAACCCTGACACTTATTCTGCTTTCAGGAGCGAGTTAATTGCGATTAATGTGAGGCTTGATGCTATCTTGTCATATGATAGTGATTTTAGGAAACTTGATTTTATCGGACAGCCGCCGTGGACTTGGTGCATCTTGGTGGTTGGTCTTCCGCAAACGATGAAACCAGCATATCTAATCTGCTCAAACTGAGGAAGATCTATCAGACCCACAAAGTCCACCTCCAGTGGATCCCTTCACATGTTAATATTAGTGGTAATGAGGTCGCCGATAAAGTGGCAAAAGAGGGTAGTGAAAATGAAACGGCCACTGGCTCCTCACTTACTTACCAAGAACTTAATTCAAATGAAAGATCTAAACTTAATATTATATCGTATATTCCACCTACGCGCCAATGGTACACAGGAACATCCCCTGCCTCCCCACAGAAAATCAAATGTGACCGTGTCTCCCAGACTGCTCTGAATAGACTAAAAGGTGGCCGCCTTAAATGTCTTTCCTTTGATAAGTGGCAAAAAAATCCATCCCAATTGCAAAAAATGCTGTGAGCATCCAGCTTCACCGGATCACATAATGTGTTGCATCGGACTTTCTAAGGAGGACTTAACATCCGATCCCCTCACTGTTATTGATTTTTTGGCGGTCAACAACCTTCTGGAGCTGATCTGACATATATCAGATCTTTCGAGGATAAGCAACAACAAAAACAACAATTACTAGTAATATAAAGTATCGCAATTTTCAACCCTTATAACGACTCTCTGTTCCCTAATATATGAAGTCTCACAGTCATTGTCATTATTTTAATAACACTGAAGAAATTCCAAAAACTGTAACAGTCAGACACTTGAACAGTACTGTAAAAGATGAGTTCTGCGAAAACATCAACACCTTGACGAGCGTGCCAAGAGATCTCAGTTGTAAATCAATTCCTGTAAGGTGACAACTAAGAAAGGAAATATTTTTGTCAAATTTCTATTTTTTACAAATTTAGACTTTATGGAAGGTTTGTGTAAATTAATAAAAAATATATTTGCTATGTAAAACAAATTACAAAATACACTTTTCCAAGAAAATTAGGTAACGAAATTAATTTATAAGCCTGAATCACAATGAATTTCTGTTTCCACTATAATAAAACCATAGAATTAATTTTAATTTAACTAGATAAACAAAACACAAAACTAATTATGTTGCTTTGTTTTTATTTTTACTAAATTTGAACAATGAAATTGTCTTGAATGGTGTAAAAACTATAGATTTTATTTTCCTGCAACTTTTCTTTATTATCACGCTTCTGTTTCATCAATGAATTGTAGTGATTTTCATTGGTATAAAATAATAAAATTACTTGCACTGTAAACAGTGAGCAATAGGTTGTAAAAAAATGTGCAACTGCTCCTCAATTATGTTTACTGATTGTATAATATTTACGAATGGCATCGACTAATATAAATGTAGTTCAGATTCACCGAAATTAATTCCTTACATTTTTTTATCTCTTGTATTTATTGTATTCATTTATAATTTTGTATGTATATTAATGAACAAAAAAAATTAAGTGTAATTACAACTATTCAAAAACGGTAATAATAAACTGCAAGAGAAACTTTTACAAATAAGTCACATTCATTAAAGTTAAAACAAACTAAAAAGAATGTTTAAGATTATTTAAAGTATTTTTTCTCTGCTTTCTGCATGCCTTCGCCTTCGAGAAGTTACGCCTGTTCGAGTTATCCAGAATTTGAATCCCAGCGAGGGAAAAATGGATTTAACTTTCCTGGCTTCAAAAAATTATAAAATCACTCTATAAGGGGTGCCCGAGGCCCACCAGCGGTCGAGCAGTAAAAGCCACTAAACACTGGTAGTTCGATTCGGGATTCGAGTCGAGGAGAACGGGCTGGCTCCATGGGCGTTTTAGTGGTTTTTTTCATGTATAACATCTATACGAGACAGTTTCCTTAAAAGGACCTCCACAGGGCATCCCTCCCTTACCGTATAGTGCCTAAGGCAGATCACGTAATAAGTAAAAAAGTGTGGCACCCTATTTAAAAGGTGGAAGACGATTATTCCTCACCACCAGACTTTGTCTACTAGGTGCCATAATATCTAGTCGTCTTTTAAAAGAGCCAGTATGTAAGGTATTTTCTCTCTCCTTTCCGCATGCCTTCGTGGTGTAACTCCCCAATACGCTCGACGGGTCTTCGAGAGCTCTGGGTTCGAAACTTTGAGACGATATTGCGGATTTCTTCAATTTCGTGTCTTCAAAAATCGTAAAAGGCTTTACAATTGTAATCAATGCATTTCTTTTTAAAAGCTTTAAAGTGGATACCTGTTTTAGAATTATGGGTCTTCTGCTTCGTAACCATTAAGAAAATGTTTTCAAAATAATGCCCATTTACTCCCTGTTCAATAAAGATGTTACTTAAACTGTTCTTCATTGGTAAGGTACAAACATCCTTTAATACCCTGCTTACTATCCTGGTTCAGAAGGCTTATTGTGCTATTATGCATTTAGTATTTTTAAGTACGGTATTCAAGCATTATCTGTACATTATTAAGTACTGTATAATGTGTTATATGTCTATTTCCCTGTACTTCAAAATATAGAAACATAATGTCATTTATGATAATATGCTTTCTGTTGTTAATTATATTCCACTAGTGATTGAATGGCTGAAAACCTCTGAATTTTCCTAGTTTGATTCGCATTCAAATCTTGCTGAAAAATTTTAGCTGTATAGGCGTTTTCATAGTTTTCTACACGTGTAATGCGAGTGAATTAATGTTCCACGAAAACAATATTTTTCTTAAATGGATAGCTGTAATGTGCTGAATGATAATCGACTGAACAAAATTTCTATAACTCTAAAGTTGTTCAGAAAAAAGCAAAAAGAATGCTAAGTGTTGGTAATATTGAGAGCACATGTAATAAACGATTTCATACTGCGGAGTAAACCATGGTATTCTTCTGTTATCAGGACCGGATTCAGAAATGTGTGTAGTTATGTGCGTATATATGTGAGTACACGCACAGATAGATATGTATGTGCGTATATATGTATGTACACACGCAGACACGTATGTAAACTGCGCCAAAAAAAAAGGGGGGCCGTTCTACGAGGGCATTTCGAAAAGTAAAGTTACACCGTACGCCAGAGGAAAAGAAAAGCTTTGGTGAGCAAGTTGGCAACACAGGTGTTAACCTTGAACCAAGGTTCTTTAATATACTAAGGTTAGGCCAGGAACGGAAAAAGCGTGCCATTGGTTGCTGGTAGTGACGTCACCCGGGAGACAGGACGCATCGGCCGACGCGTCTGCTACATGATTTTGGTAATGGAAAAAATGTAAACTAAAGCAAAATGATCATTTTATATGTGGTAGATACACCGGAAATACCGGGTATATACTTTCCGATTAAGTATTTTGTTAAAGAAAATGTTTATTTTATGCATAGAATTCGTACGAATGCTGAAAATAATTATAAACATTAAATTCTTTTCGTAAAGGGAAGCCTTAGAAAATGAAAAACGATATTTAAGTTAACTAAGGGAAATAAATATTGTAAAACAAGGTATTTTTCAATATTTTTTCGTAGTATTGTTTGCACTAAATAAATTTTGTTGAACAGAACACATGATGGCATAACTGCTAAGACCATGGTAAAAACATAATAAAAAAGTATTGTTCTATTTATTTTCATTGCTCATGCACTTTTTTTAATACAAATGAACTTTGACATTCCATGAGAAAGATATGATCGTGATTTTCAGTTTAATTTACATATCTCAAGCAAAAATATATATAAAAAGATTTGACTTAACAAATTCATATTTAAATACCATAAAATTCTACAAATTTCTTAATATCCGTCATTATACTTTTAAATAGTATACTTATCACATTCTTTTTAAAGTGAAAAGTCACTTCATACTGATTCACTTCAGATTTTAGCAGAAGTGCATATTTTTTCAGTATAATCTAAAAGTACTCTTATAACCCCTTACACTCCCAAGATTTCTATATAACATTTATCCTGACGTAATTATTTGCTATAGTAAATAATCTTCGATATCGGCATCCTATTCTTCCTTCCATACATTAAAAATGGAACAATTAAAATACATTTTCTTAGACATATACGCATAATAATAATAATAATAAACTTGCCATACATCTTAGTTTCAGCCCACCAGCAGCTGAGCGGTAAAGTCGCTGAACACTGGTAGTTCGGTCCGAATCCCGCAAACGGGCTGGCTGCATGGGCGTTTTCGTGGTTTTCCTCATGTGTAATGTGTATACGAGCCAGTTTACCTGAGAAAGTCCTCCAAGAAGGCATCACACCTATTACGCAGATAGCCCTAGTGTGCTTTGCCATAATTAAATACACCACCACATCTTAGTTTCAATTCAGCCTGTACACAAATTAAATATTTTTAATTACTAATGTATTTTTATCAGGTTGTTTCTTAAAATACTTTTGTTATACTCAAAATATGTGTTCAATATTAAATTATTTTTCTTTCTCTTATAATTAAAAACAAGTTATATGGAATCAAAATTAAAACATATGCAGCAGTTAAATAACACTGAAGAGTATCTACTTACTCTTTCGCTATTTGTATTCTAGCATTATACACAGATTTGTTTTCCTTCAGAGTCAGCTATGTGTAAGTTCACTTAGTTATATCAATTAAATTACATCAGACATATGCATCAGTTAAACAACATTGAAGGAAATATGTTGCTCGCTCATCGATGTTTGCATCATAGTGTGGTCGAGAAATGTTCTTTCTTCTGAAGCATGTATCAGTTTACTTAGTTCTCAATGCTTAACCCAGACATTGCTTCAATACATAGAATTACTTTTGGGATGTAAAGAAAGTAACCAAAACATGTGAATTAACTTGGATAAGCGAATTTATCAACTAATCATTCAGGTAGTCACTATTGGTAAACACGACACTGAGATTAAATATCTCGCTATAAGTCTCCTTCATAAAAGGAAAATTATGATAAAATGAATAGCACATATTCTGGCATTTTCGATGTTGAAATTATCTGCTCTTTTGCAGCGAATAGTCCATAACTTACGATCACTTGGAAAACGATGGTATGTGATGCCTTGACTTTTAGTTTTCCTTCTATAATTCTGACACAACGCTATAACACAACTTGCCATTTCCGACTAGGTATAAAAGCAAATTAACAACACAAATCAAATGTATCCCAGATCAAATGCAACGAATGTAAACAAACGCCGAGAACTAACGACTGTCACCCACATGACGTCATGCGCAGGTGGCATAATTTTCTCCCTGCACTACGCATCGCTCTTGGGCCCCCCCTGACCTTGAACCATTAGCTTTCTCCTCGCGGTCGTTCGGCATTTTAGCGTTGATTCTGGTTGGAGCAGGTTGTGTTTAAAATGGCTGCGCCGATTCAGAATCCCGCCAAATGCGAAGCGTGCTCCGTCATACGTTTTCTTCATGCAGAAGGTCAGCGACCAGCGGATATTCACAAAGAAATTGTTTCTGTTTATGGTAACAAAATGTAACGAAATGGTGTCGTCATTTCTCTGAAGGTAGGACCGATGTTCATGACGAACAAAGAACAGGTCGGCCATCTGTGATCTCTGATGCCCTTCTTCAGAGAACAGAAGAAGCAATTCGTGGGAATAGACGTCTCAAATTGAAAGAATTGCATCAGATCATACCGAAAGTGTCAATGACAACTCTTTATGAAGTTGTGACTGTCAAGTTAGGGTACAGGAAATTGAGTACGCCCTGGGTTCCAACAGGCGGCAACCTTCTATGACTGTGGGATACAAAAGCTTGTGCACCGACTTAACAAATGTTTGGATAACGGGTGGTGATTATGTCGAAAAATAATAAATAATCCAGTTAATAAGATGTAATTGACGTTTTCTAAAAAAAATTTTTTTTTTTTTTTTCTAAAGAAATGCGAGCCATTGTATCTTTACTTTTCGAAATGCCCTCGTATATCTCCCGTTCTACTGGGCCGATTGACGAAATTCAAATTGAGTTTTTCATGTCTCAAAAATACGACTTAGGATATATATTAGATTTATATGTAGCTTTGTTCTAACAGGTATTTTGACAAAAAATCCGACGTTTTCTGAAATAACATACCATGTTTTTTTCCTTATTTCGATTCTACGACTCAAATTATGCCTAGACATTAAATTTTATAACTTTTGGTGAGAAATTTAAAAATTTATCTTGGCGAATTTTGTTTAGTTTGCGCCAAGAATAATTCACTTTTCGAACTTCTGAATTTATAGCAATCTATTTTCATTTCCTTTTTCCACGAGCCATTTTTCATTGTCCACGAGGGGGAAAAAAATTCATCGTTAATACCTTCAAATAATTTTAGCAAAGTGCATAAACCACATTTTCGTTATTATCGCATATAATAAATACGCCAAATTTCAAAACGCATCAAAATGTAAATTCACGTATATCTTAGGAAAGTTTCAATAAAAAACTTCAATTTTTTGCATGTATGCTTAAAAATACATCTTTAAGATGGTGGTAAAACTTTTATAGGTTATAATTCAAACTTGTTTTTGACAAATTTATAAAAATTATTTTAAAATACAAATTTTAAAAATAAGTCATAAAAAATGCGCGAATTTGTATTTAGAATGAACCTAAATTTCCAAATCTTAAAGGAATAATCAAATATGTTTAATAAAAAAAAAAGAATACATGAAACGGGACATAAAAAACGCAAGTTGAATTTACGTACGAAGGTATGTACGTACGTACGTATCTCGCATAACTCAAGAACGAGTAGCCTCAGAACGTTGAAATTTTGTATATAGGACTGCTATAACATGTACATGTGCACCTCGTATTTTGGTTGCAATCGGCAGCACCAAACGTATATAAATATATTTATATATATATATCCACTCTGCTACCCTGCTCAGTAATCTCAGTTTCTTTACTCTTATATGTTTGTAAATTGTACATTTTTTGCTTTAAAAATGATTGAATTATGTTGTTTTTATCTTCCGGTTAAGGGTTTTATGCCTTTAGTTAATCTGTATGCAATATTTTTATAATTATCAACAATTTAAAGTTGTCTAAGTGCTGCTAAGCCTTTTTTTTTTAATAGCGGAGATTGATGTTTACATTTGAAACAGGAGACTAGTGGATTTGTTGCCAATCTAGAGAAACTTAGCTTCGCAACAACAAAGATAACGCATTCATTTAATTGCGAATTAAATTATGCTTAATCCTTTCTGGAATTTTTTCGAGGAAATAAGTGTTTAAGATTTATTTCGTAATTTTTAATATAGATATTTTGAGTTTTTATATATTTTTGCCTTCTCGCGAAGTGAGAACTGAATTAATTGAATGAGAAATTTTCAATCGTCTGTGAAAGACTGTCTCTTTTTTGTTTTGTTTGCTTAATTTCTTTTATACATCATTCTAGCTTTATTATAGTATTTGAATAGAATAAACATGTGGCAACGATTAGATAATTCTATGCTTTAAATGATATAAATTTTGTGCATCATGAGTTATAATATGAACGAAATATATAAGTTAAATGTTATATAATTATTAATACTGTTAAGTGAATCTAGCGCCGGAGATTCGCTGTGGTAAACAAATACTAGAGTGAATTTTAAAGAATGCATTTATTCTATTGTGGTTTATGCGCTATCGACGAAGTAGATTTAATTTAGTCCAATAAGTTTAAATGAAATGCAAGAAAAAATGCGTATAATTTAATATTCCGTACAAGGAAGTCATGTGGTGTACACATCAGATTTTTTTAAATAATGAAACCAAAGTTGCTGTTTGATTTTGTTTTTACTGAAATCGATCTTATTGCTTTTAACTACTAACTAACATTCTCAGCTCAACATTCCCTAAACTTAAGATTATTTTTTATTTAGAAAGAATGCAACGCATAATTAATACCAATGTTTTTTTTTTTTTTTTTTTTTTTTTTTCTTTTCATTTTTAGAATTTTTAAATTTATTTTTGGAAAACCTGTATAGAAATTAACGAAAAAATCTCTACTATTTAAGCATGAATCCGGAGAACATCTAATGGTAACATGTAAAACATATATATCCCGGTTAAAATGAATTATATAAGCATTTTAGGTTACTTTTGATCAATATTACTATTACTATGCGTTCCTTCGACAATTTAAATTCTTTGTTTTGGTCATTCTTTTAGCTGCATATTTCATTATTAATTTTTAACGCTGGTTGTTGGATGTAATCACCCTGGTAACATTAACATAATTACATAAAAATACCTTACATTAACTTTTCTTTTTCATCTCGAAACATGTTTTACTTTTGAATTACTTCAACTCCAGCATGATGGAAACATGATAATTTTAAAACAAATATTGAATAAGAGAACATCACACTTGAAATAAATAACAAAGCAAATACATATATTTCTACGTTACTCTAAGTTGGAATGATCTGTCTCCTATCGGTCACTTCTCATTCACTGATCTCAGCAAATAATAAGTCGTGTTGTTTTCCTAAAACTTGAAAGCTAAGTATAAGCAAAGTGGTTCTATGTAATCATCAGTTTAAGAGGTAACAGAGGATCACTGAAAACAGAATATCCACAGTTTCAATGTATGTTATTTATTCATGCATGTAAAAAAGTATTATTTGCACGGAAAAACTTCAGGCAACGTTTTAAACTAATAAAAAGGAGAATAATTTAAATTAAAGAAAAACAAATAAGTAACAGGCAAATAAATTTCTACCTTACTTTAAGCTGGGATGTTTTGCATCCTAACGGCCACTATGCATTCACTTATCTGAGAAAATAAGAAATCATCCTGTTTATTTAATTCCACGCCTCGTCTGGAACTTGGGAGTTAAGAACAGGGAAGGTGATTTTACGTAATCAGCAGTTCAAAAGATAGCACACGAATCATTGAAAATAGATAAATAGTTTCAATAATAATTCATTTTTTCATACATCTCAATAAATGTTGGTAAAACGAAAAACTTCAAGCAATACTATTATTAGAGAGGAGAAGGATTTAAAGGAGAAGGACTATTAAAAAGAAGAAGAATTTAAATTAAAGATTTGATTAATTTCCTTTTTTTTTCGGATACAGATACTTCAGCGTTCTTCAAAATATGGTTCTCAAAGCCTGCCTTTGTGTTTTTTCCATATTTCAAAAAACGGCCCAAAATAAAATTTTAATTA